CACCCCTATCCTGCACCTCTGGCCTGTACCCCACCTCTTGCATGCATTAATAAATAAATCTTTAAAAAAAAACACACACACAACAATGGGACACATTCTAGGTCTCCCTGGTGGCCCAGGGGTTAAGTGTCAGTGCTATCAACTCTGCGTCCTGAGTTTGATCCTGGACCAGGGAGCTGACCCACATACGGCACAGCAGATCTCTCCTGTCTTGCCAGCTGCTGCCCTCAGCAGTGTATTTCAGTCAATCCACCTGTTCTGTTCCCCACTCTATCTCTCGAGAATCCTCTCACCTCTCCACACCTCTGGACTACACTCTGGTTTTTCTATGCAAAAAAAAAACCCCAAAAAACAAAAAAAAAAAAACACCACCACCAAAAAGCACCTCATTTAAAAAAAAAAAAAACAATGGGACACATTCTAAGAAATGTGTTATTAGGCAATTTTGTGGTAAGAAAGTCATAGAGTGTAATTAATGTCATAGAAGGCAATTACACAAACCTACTATACACCTATGCTACATGGTACAGCCTATTGGAAGCTCCCTGTAGGCCAAAATATCCTGAAATGATTTGTGGCTATATATGCCACATCTTCTTTATTCATGGTTGGGCACCTAGGTAGTTGTCATGGCTGAGCTATTGTAAATAATGCTGCAGTGAACACAGGGACCATGTATTTTCTTGAATTAGTGATTTCATGTAATCTGTCAATACCCAAGAAGTGGAATTGCTGGAACATAAAGTAGTTCTGTTGTTAATTTTTGGATGACTGGTTCATTATTATTTTAATGGGACACATCTATTTTTATTCCTCTAATGGGATTTTTTTCATTCCCTCACACAACACATTTTCACGGATCACCTAGCTTATGCTAGACACTACTTGAGGTTCAGGGTGATGGTGTTGACTATGGTCAAGTGCCTACCTCCATCCTGGTCCAGGGATGTGGACAATGGGCAAACATGTAAATCAGAATGTGAGAAATGCCAGGAAGGAAAGCAAGGCAGGGAAGAGGACAGAGAGACAAAAATGTTGCTTCTGAAATAAAACTTGAAAAAAAAAAATATTAAAAAAAAAAAAATGTTGCTTCTGATCCAGGCATCTGGCAAGAGGGTTCTCTGAGGAAGTAATGTGAGTTGGTTTAACAGGATGGGATCCAGGGCAAGAGAGGATTTTCGCTAAAAGGAGGTTGCAGGGAACATCCCTGTACATTTCTATTGGGGGCTGTGTAAGTTTTCTCAGAGAGGTCCTTAAGTGTCACCAACTTCTCTATCCCCCATGGTCAGGTAGGGCCATTTGACAATTCCTGGCTACTGGGAGAAGGGGTGGGTGGCACTTCAGGTAAAAATATTGGAAAACGGACTTGGGAGTCCTGTGTCGTTCTTCCACTGCACCAGCAACCATGGAGGCTGTTGTTCAAGATGGCGCTATCTCCGTTGTGCTGAGTCCCTGAATGACTATGTGGCTCAGAGCCCTGCTGATCTGTTGGGATTGGGCGGTATGGATGACTGGCTCTAATGTCACTGACTTTTGGGGCTGTTTATTATGCAGAATGGTTCTCCCTGCCTGCCTAATGTGGCCATGGAACAGAACCAATGGGATTTCTATAAAAGCAGATTTGTCATGAGAAACTGACGCTGGCAGATATGGAGACTGAGAAGCCCCATGTTCTACCACCTGCAAGCTGGAGACCCAGGAAAGCCGGGGGTGTAATTTAGTCCACGTCCAAAGGCCCAAGAACCAGGAAAGCCGTCAGTACATATTCCAGCAGGAGAAGACTCAGATCCCAGGTCAAGCAAGCAGGCAGAAAGAAAAAGGGGAAATTTTCTCCTTCCTCTGCTTTTTGTTCTCTTTAGCCCCTTAAAGGACTGGATGAGGCACCATTGCTTTGGGGAGGCAATCTATTTTACCAAGTCCCCTGACCCCCTGATTCAAATGCTAATATCATCTGGAAAGATCCTCACAGGCACACCCAAAAATAAGGTTTCGTCCGGCACCCTTATGTCTTCTTTTGTTTCTATTCTCTCTTCCTTTTTTACTTTCTCCTTAGTATTTAATATCATCTGTGCTGCCACTGCAAATCACTCCTGTGGAGATGTCCTGTAACTGTTAGGATTAGATTCAATTAAAAAAAAAAAAAAAAGACAGGGGAAATAAAGAAAAGAGAAACCATGGCTTAAAACAGAAGAGATGTCTGTTTTTCTTCTCATGTTCAAGGTGACCGGGGCTGGTTGTGTTGAAAGACTTGAAATTCCATGTGCTACTTTGATATCTTTGAACCTCATAGGGCCCCAAAGTTCTAACCAGGAGTTTCTCTGCCTTTGTCAGATATGCTCCCACCCCCAGCTACTCACTTGGATCATTCCTTCAGAGAACTGCTGCACCCATATGGTACCAAAATGAATGGGTTCACCTCTCTGCCAGTCTGAGCAATTATTCAAAATAAATCAATCACATCTTCCAAAGGGAACTAGCGGTCACCCCACCCTATTGTCACTAGAAGGTCTGCCTTCACCAGCCTCTGTTTCTTGATTCTGCTTTCAAATGCACCCCACTCCCCTGCCCCAATATGACTCTGCACAGTAGGGAGTGTCCTCTTCCTCTTCTGTGCTGCGAATAAGGTGATGTCAATCTCATCTATCCCATGTTAGATGTTATGTGGACTATGCAGGGCATATGACCCCTTCTTCAGCAACTGGTTAATAGGAGGTAATCAAAACACTGGTCAGTCCTTGAATGACATAACCTTCCCTAGTATGTGAGACCCAGGCTGTTACAGCAGAATCCCATTAAGGAACCAGGCAGCACTCAGAGAAGAGGAGGAAAGGTCTTTATTTAAGTCTGCAGGCCCAGAGGAAATCTCTCTCCAAAGCCTGAGCACCAAGCAGTGAGATAACAGTATTTGTTGCCTCAGCAGGGGTACATTTGCCCTGTAAAGCAAACAGGGAGGACAGAAGCAGGAGATTCCTAAGTGATTATCTGGGGTGCATAAGTCAGGCTATCTGGGGTGTTGGCCTCAGAACGTTTATCAGTTACTCCCTGGAACTTTCAGCGTACATTTAGGTTTTTTCTCAACATAACTTCAATTAATTAACAGGTCAGCCTGACATTTTCCACTTCATGGCCACTTCTATCTTGTTACTGCTCCATTCAAAGCTTCTAGTCCCAAGGTAATGTCATAGCACAAAATGGTTGATGAAGCTCCAGCCATCACAGCTATGTTTTCCAACAGTAGGAAATAGAAGGGCACCCCATTTCCCTCAAAGTTTGTCATACCACTTACTTCTGTTTACAGTTAGATGACCTACCTGCTGCAGAGGAGACTGAAATGTAATTCTTCATCCAAGCCAGCCATATGTCCAGCTGATACAATATCAATAATCATGTGGATTGGATCCAATTCTGAGCAGTTTATCAAACAGATGAAGGCTGACTGAGGGGTTTTATTTTAGCCCGTGTCTAGAGGTTGGATGCTTGCCATCAGAGGATGAGGAGGGGTAGACCCAAGGTGTGCCTTGGGATCATTAACTGGTACTGAATTAAGATGCCTCCTTTCCTCTTTAATTTCCTACCAGCCCACTGGTCCCTCCCACATCAACTCCACATCCCCCTTCTCATTCAAAATGAAACCAGACTGCTGGACTATCCACAGCGTTATTACAGCTGCCCCTTGTCCCCCTGACCTTGTGAGTCTCCCTGAGGCTAGAGGCTTGGGGATCCTGAGAGACATCACCTCTTCCCCAAGCAAACCTTCTCACACATAAAGATACCATCCGTAAAGATATACTAAATGTCAAGTGTACCAGGATATGTTTGTTGACCATACTCCATTACTATCCCTGCAGAACTCCTTGCTGGCCTGGACTAGGAAGGGCTGGGCTGGGCTAAGCTGGGCGGAGCTGGGCAGAGTCTGGGAGTGAGTTGATTGCAGTAGAGAAGGCCAGTGGGTCATTTATAAGAGTTCCTAGCCAATCAGCACATTCTAACCCTCCAGTCATAGACACTGGTTATGGTAGCACATATGGCCAAAGTTAGGCCAATAAGGTTCAAGCTAGGGGCTTATGACTGATCTAAAGTTGGGAGTATTTTGACACTACACAGAGGTGTCTGCTGGTAGAGTAAAGACTCCATCTTGAGTATCACTTTTGAGCCCCTGGATTCAGATATGCCTGAAAAACACATCCCCTCAACATTTCCTTTCTTGAGTCAATGAACACTCCTGTGCATTTGTTGATTTGGTTTAAGTTCTCTGTCCTTTGCAACTGAAAGAGGCCTGCCAGAAATACAAACTGTTGGTTCTTGTTGCTGCTTCCCAAAGGCTAGGATCCATTCAGTAGTTGAGTAGCTCCCTGGCCCCACTGCTCAGCTAGGGAGATTGAGGCTCTTCCACCCAATGTCCAAGCTAGCTGCCGTCAGTCACACACGGAGAGCCTGCCATGCCCTGAATGGGGTGTACTGTTCTCTTCTGGCTGAAGCTAAAACCTGTCTCTTGGTCCAACCCTGAGGGGCTTAGGATTTCCCTCATGAGGACAATCCATTCTGGGAAGCATGGGCAAGTGACACCTCATTGGGTCTAAGTGCCCCCACTGGAAGAGGGCTTAATAGTACAGACACCCTGTCTCTCCATCATTCTCATACATCTTGGTCCTTTCTGTCTACCTGATGTACTTCACTGCCATCTTCCAATGGTTCTCCCTGCTCCCCTCCCTACCTGGGGCCCATCATGTCCCCTCAGCCCTCACTACTGAGCCCGTATATCTCTTTAGGACTGGATATAGTCAAATACAGCTGCCCTACCCAAACTGCTGAGAATTCAGGTCCCTCGAGGGCAGCAACTGCTAGAAGAATTGGAGGGTCAACACTCCTTCATATGCCCCTGAGGTGCAAATCGTATGTGATCTCCCAGCGCTCCCCAGAGACACTGAGTCCCGTTGCACAGGAACCTGCTTGATGACAAGAGATCATCCCACTTTGCCCAGGACCAAGGGTTACCTGGGATGCAGGATTTTAAGCGCAAGTTCCAGGCAAGCTGATTACCCAGGGGTGACCGTTCCCTTCTGGAATTCCCTCTGTCATATCTCCCACCCCTTACAGCTGTTTTCCCTGACTAAAAAAAAAAAAAAAAAAAAGAAAAAAGAAAAGAAAAGAAAGAAAACAAGAAGCACTCAATCCTCATCTCCTACCTGCTTCTGGGAGACCTCAACTTTCTTTGTGCCCTTCATGTAGCCCATAGCACTCCCCTGCTGAGCCAGATGTCATTCTTGGAACTTTCTGTCTACTACCTAATTTGGTCCAAAACAGTCCTTTGAGGGAGGGTCTTCCATCATCTGTTTGTGTGGGAAAGTCGAGGTTTGGGCAAGAAAACAACTTGTCTGAAGTGTCCTGCTGGTAGTGGCATGATTCAGGGGATGGGACCTTGGGCAGAGACTGGCTTCCTCGCCAGTGACACATACCAGGCACTGTCTCATCCACGTCTTCCTAAGCATTATTTCATTTAATCCTTACACCATGCGCAGGAGGATTAACTCCTTTGCAGAGCGGGAAACTGAGGCCCATAGCAGTGGCAGAACTCAAGTTCAAGGTTAGGCTGGCTGGCACACAGTCTTCACCACCAGCCTTGGTGCCTCAATATGTATAATTTCCTTTCAGGCAGCTGTGGACACTTGGGGAGCAGGGAGTCTGGCTGCCAGTAAAGCCAGCTGGCAGAAGGGAGGGGGGCCCAGATGGCAAACCTGAGAACCCCCAGGCTCCTGTCCCCTCCCCACCGGCCCCAGATCCTTGGAGAGGCTGCCATGTCCTGAAGTGTCCTCCATTCCTCTGTCTCCACTCCTGCTCCTGTGGTCTGCTCAAATACCAGACAGGGAGAATCTTAGCTTCCCCCAAACATTCCTTGTCCCTGTGGCTCAGTCCAGGCTGACTGAGGTTACGCAACAGAGCTAGGGTGGTTGGGAGGGTGGAAGAACCAAGGGGACAGGCTTGCTTGTCCTTACCGCCCCATCTAGCCCAGGAAGGGCGGGGGAAGTGGGTGGGCCAGCCTTGAGCCCCAGGGAGAACAGCCTGGGGGAGGGTGGCTTGTGCTGAGAGATGAGAGGTGGTGGCAGGCACTGCGGAGGCTCCAGGAGGTGGCTGCCTGGTTTCCATTAGGGAGTCCTGTTTGGCAGTTCAGGCAAGGAGGCAGAGCTGGGGCTGGTATGGTAAGGTAGAGGGGGAGGGGAATGGAAGGGTGGGGACTGCCTTTACCTCTCACCCCATGCTGGGATGCTCCTCTTGCCATGGCAATCCAATGCCTAGCCTGGGAACACCCTGCTCCACTTCCAGCAGCTGAGACTGCTACCGCTCCTGCTGTTGCTTGGTCCCCCACCTGTTCCCGGCATGGAGGACTCCGCCTTCCCTCACCTAGGGGTGAGCTCACAGCCACCTCCCAGGGCCTGCCCCCTGCGCTGCTCCTGCCCCCAGGTGGATATAGTGGACTGCGCCAGCCTAGACCTTTGGGTATTCCCGGACAACATCACTAAGGCGGCTCAGCATCTCTCCCTGCAGGTGGGGCTGGGCCGGGCAGGGGGGCGGGGTTCGGGGTGAGGACCTGGAGGTCTGGGGAGGTTGGTGAGCATGGCCAAGTGCAGGGGGTTGAAGCTACAGGTATGGGGTCCGTGTGTGTGTGTGTGTGTGTGTGTGTGTGTGTGTGTGTGAGACTTGGGTGTGCGGGTTTTAGTACTGATGGAAATTGACCATGATGAGACTGTTGGGGTCTGTTGTTGAAGGGGAAAGGAAGCGTACATACAAGTGAGAGAGGCAGAGGGTGTGAGGGTATTGGGTCAACATCTTGGCTTGGGGTCTTTTGAGGTCTGTGTGATGGGACACTGGGGTCAATTGTGGGGGTGACGAGGTAGTAGACATCCATGTTTTGGTGGTTATGGAGTTGCTGGAGTCAGGATGATGAGTCATTTTGGGTTAATTGTGGGGGTGATAGGGGAGTCAGGGCTACTTGTTTAGGGTAATAGGGAGTTAAGGATCAGAGCTTAGGGTCATTTGTTAGGGGTGAAGTGTTGTGAAGGTAGGAGTGGGAATACTCTTGGACCCCAGAACAACCAGCTTCAGGAGCTTCCCTACAATGAACTGTCACGCCTCAGCAGCCTGCAGACCCTCAACCTCCACAACAACCTTACAACCTCCGAGGGTGAGAAAGTCCCTCCCCAGCATGGACCCAGCTGCCCTCTTCCCAGCCCCACCTCCCTGGGGTCTGTGGGCAGCTCTGCAGCAGTTCCCAGAACTGTCCTTTGCTGAGCAGGATGGAAATTTGGGTGATGGGGCTGTGACTGTGGCTTTTGAGGACTTGGGGAGAGGAGTGCCTGAAGGGGCCTCTGCCAATTCTTAGCCTGGAGCCCTGTGGTAGTAACACAGGCACCCTACCACATCAGAACTGAAGCCCCCTTATTGCCCACCCCATTCCCAGGGCTGCCTGATGAGGCGTTCGAGTCCCTCACCCAGCCGCAGCATATCTACATGGCTCACAACAAGGTGAGTGCCCACCCCACCACCCACTTTCAGCCTAGTTGGACAGTAAAGGGCTTGAGGGGGGCATCAGAACCAGTTTGCTCCTGCAGCTCTCCGTGGCCCCCAGTTTCTTGCCCCCCTCCCTCCGCATCGCAGATCTGGCTGCCAACCAAGTCATGGAGATCTTCCCGCTCACCTTTGGGGAAAAACCAATGCTCAGGTAGCCTCTGGTCCACCCTGGACCCCCAGACCTTGGGATGCTGGGTTTACTCCTCACTCCAGGGGTCAGAGCTGTGTCTTACTAGGAGTCTGGGGGAAATGGGACAGGGTCCTGATCCTCGGTCTAGAGAATTTCAGATGAGGTGAAGACAGACACGCACACACTCACTCACATTCACACTGAAGGTGGGTGGCTCTGAGCTGGGATATCGGTGGAAGTGGGGAAACCAGGCGCAGGCTGGTGGCCGGAGCCTGGCTCCCCTCAGGTCTGTGTACCTCCACAACAACCAGCTGAGCAATGCTGGCCTGCCCCTCGACGCCTTCCACGGCTCCCAGGCAGTCACCACCTTCAGTCTCTCCAGCAACCAGCTCAGCTATGTGCCAACCAGCCTACCTTCCTCACTGGAGAGGCTCCACTTGCAGGTGCCCCTCCTTCACCTCACCAGTACCACCCACCCCCACAACTCCTGGGGCCTCCTGCATCCCTCTAGGGTCTCAACTGGCAAGGGTGGTTCACAAAAGCTCTCTGAGAGATCTTGCAAAAGTGAGCACCTTTCTTACTCGACTCTTCTGTCCCAGACATTTGATCTTTTCCTCCTTCCTTCCCAGAACAAACTCATCTCCAAAGTGCCCCGAGGAGCCCTGAGCCACCAGACCCAACTCGTGAGCTCTACCTCCAGCACAACCAGCTGACAGACAGCAGCCTGGATGCTACCACCTTCAGGTGTGGCCTAGGGGAGCAGCCTCACGCTAGTAGTAGGGGCTGAGGATTCAATGTCTAGGGGTCACAGGCTTCCATGCCCATACTCTTCATCCCACACCTCACCTGTGAGCATCTACTGTGTACTAGGCTCGGCTCAGATCCTGGCACATGCCTGCTTTCAACTGCCCTGTACTGCCATTTTATTAGGTACCACTGCTGCCACACGCAGATCTTGGACCCCAAACTCTATTGTAGTCACCTGTACATCTAACTCTCAGGCCAGAATCCATCCTGGTCACCCCAAATTGGCCTCTCACCCAAATTTCCCCACTCATCACCTCCAAATTAGAATCTCCAGCTTACATCTCTCAGAACCGCTCCTCAACACTGCCCCCAAGATCCTCCTGGTTCCCGACTGTGAGCTTAGCTCCATACCAGCCCTCTCTTCCCCAGCAAGCTGCACCGCCTGGAGTACCTGGACCTGTCCCAAAAGCAGTTGACTGAGGTGCCCTCTGGCCTGCCCCGCACCCTGGCTGTGTTGCACCTGGGCCGTAACCGCATCTAGAGAGTGACAGCAGCCCAGCTACATAGGGCCCTGGGTCTACGCTATCTTCTGCTGCAACACAACCAGCTGGGAGTGGCAGGGTTGCCTGCTGGGGCATTGCGGCCACTGCAGGGGCTGCACACGCTGCATCTCTATGGCAATGGGCTAGACAGAGTGCCTCAGGGGCTGCCCCACCACCTGCAGGTCCTGGTGCTGCCCCACAACCGGGTGGCTGCACTGGGTGCCAGAGACCTGGCTGCCATGCGGGGCCTAGAGGAGCTCAACCTAGCTTACAACCAGCTGGTCAGCTCCCGTGTGCACCATCGGGCCTTCCGCCCACTGCGTGCCCTGCGCAGCCTTGATCTGACTGGCAACCAACTGACCTGGATGCCCACTGGCCTGCCTGCCAGTCTGCACACCCTTCGATTGCAGCAAAACCAGCTCCAAGCCCTAGAGTCTGAGCTGCTGGCTGGCCTGAACCAGTTGCGGGAGCTCATCCTGGTGCATGACCGGCTCCGGATGGGGGACATTGGACCAGGCACCTGGCATGAGCTACAGGCCCTCCAGGTCAGAGGCAGCTTACTCAGTCACACTGACAACACTCAGGAATCCCCTCCACCCTCAGTCTCCCTAGTTCTTCCTCTACAAAACCCTGCCATACTACAAAGAGCTCCAGCTGTGGGTCAGCCCTGGGGTAGATACAGATTCTATATCCAGATTTTTGCTGGCCGATCCCTGCTACCTGGTCCTCCTTGACTATCCTGTCTCCCTCCCCAGTGAACACCACAGTTCCAGTTCTTGAGAATTTCGACTCCGCAGAGCTCTCGAGCATCTGTGGAGACCAGGTGCTGTTCTAAGCACTGGAGATGCTGGTCACAGAGCAGCACAGCTCCCGGCCCTTGATACAATATCCTAGTTAGAAAGGCAATCAAATATGAGCAAATGACAGTATGAGATGGGCATGAGAACTTGGAGATGATGTATTCTTCCTAAGTGAATGATTGAATCCGTGACCCACTCTGTCTGTGCCCCCAAAGCCCCGGATGGGGCCTGCCCTGGAAAGGGCTCATTTGACTTCAATAGAGGGGAAAGATTCAGCAGCCATGGAAGGGGCTAAGGGGAGCGGGTGCAAGGACCTACCTATCTCAACAAGGAGGGCAGTTTGGGACTTGGCTGAGTGGGTGGCCCAGGGCCTGCGGCCGCAACCACTCTGTCTGTGCTCACCTATGCAGGTGCTGGACATCGGCCACAATGAGCTGTCTTTTGTGCCCCCCGACCTGCCCATGGCCCTGGAGGAGCTGCATCTGCAGGGCAATTGCATCTGCCACGTGGGCCCTGAAGCCTTCCTCAGCACATCCTGCCTGTGAGCACTCTTCCTCAGGTGCCCCGTGGGCAGCTGGGTTGGTGGGTAGAGATGGGCAGGGGGAGGATCCTCTTCATCCCTCATACCCGCCTCTTGGTCCAGTGTCAACAGACTTCACATGTCCAGCATCGCACCTGATGCCTTCCTGGGCCTCCCGCACCTGCATGTGGTGGACACTACGGGTAACCCTGAGCAGGTCCTGGTCCGGCTGCCACACACAGGCCCACGCTGGCCACGAGCAGGAGGCTCCTGAGACTGAAGGGAGCAGCAGAGCAGCCCAGACCTCTGGGTCATGGAATAAGGAGAGAACACCCACCTGGGGCCTGGACCTGGCTCTCCAGGCCTCAAGAGCTGGGTCTCCCAACCTGTGCTGGCTGGGAAGCTGGGGCGAGGCACTGCATCCACACACACAGGGATTCTGAGGAGGGGCTGAAGTGTGCGGCCCACACCCAGGTGCACAGACCATGCTGGCCTTGTTGGCCCCCCACTCTCCGAACACACAGAAAAGCAGTAATAAAGGAACCACCCTTTTAGGCACTTATCACTGACCTGTGCCCTTCAGCTGCAGGAGGGGCTTTCATTATCCCTGAGGCTTGGGGATTCTAAGGGGACCAGCAGTTTGGCCCAGGTCCTGTGGCCAGTAACTGACAGGGCTAGACTTTGAGCCACACACCACCATATGTAAACCCAGAGAAGCCCAAGGCCATGGCTAAAGAAACATTGTCTGGAGGGATAGCCCACAGGGAGGCCGCAGGCCGTGACAGATGCACAGACCCTCGACCCTCATGTGTATCCCTGTGGAGTTTAAATCAAGCACACCCTGCACAGGCACATCCCTCTCCCCAGTCAGCCTCACTTGCAGAACCCTCCCCATCCACCCCCAAGGGGGCATGAGGGGAAGTGGGGGAGACCCTGCTAGAAACAAAGACAGGATAGAGTGAGCTGGGTGTGGCCCTGGCTGTTTATTCTCTGTGTCAGCCCCTGGGACCCAGCTGGGCCAGAGTAGTCAGTCCTCTGGGGAGCCAAGCTGGGCTCTGGCTGGCCTCAAATGCTTCTTTGGGGTGTGGGTGGGCTTCAGGGTTAAGGCTGGGGAGGGACAGGAAGTAAAGTGCTTGCAGGGGCCCATGGGACTTAGACCTAGCTGCCCTCCCACCACCGGGGCAGGCCAGGGGCCAGATCCCCCTGGGCTGTGCAAACGGTCTAGATGGGGGGCACACGCTAGTTGGCGGGCACAGTCCTGACACCTCCTGCCAGGGAGGCTCTGGCTGGGCTGGGTGGTCCTGGTTGGGGACATATCCATCCAGAGCTGATGTCCACTGATTGTCTGCTTGTCTGGTCTCTGGCCCCATCAGCTCCTCCCATCGCTGGGGCCTTGGGCCTGCTCCCTGCTTTCTGAGGGCTGCCCGCCCCATTGGTCCCTCACCTTCGGAGCCGCTGCAGCTGTAGGAGGGGCCATGAGGTCAGGGGGCTCAGGGTCCCAGCCCTGCCTCTCCCCTCCCCACTGACACCCAAGTGCTCACCTCACTCTCAACTAGGTTCCGCCTGTACAGTGCCTCTTTCGCAGCCTCCTGGGGGACCAATGGGGAGTCAGTGGGTCATGCTTGACAGCCCTGGCCCCCCAGTGCCCACCTGGTCCTCCATCCAGCTCACCCTGCTGCCATCATTGCCCAGGCGCCGGGCAGCCTCCGTGTAGAACTGCAGCTGGCGTTCCAGTTGAGCCATGTACTCTGGGGGTGGAGGAGGGGGGTCAAGATGGAGTCTGCTGCCCTGGCCCCTCCCCCACATGCCAGTCCCTGAGTTCCTACCCCGCCGGATGCCAGGGCCCCCCTGCTCCAGCTGTGCCCTCTGCCACTGACTGCGCTGCATGACGTCCTGGTACTGCTGGGCCACCTCCGGGGGCACTGGCCGCCGTGCCTGCCTGAGGGCCAGGATCTGGGTGTACAGAGTAGGCTGTGAGGGCCCCACCTGGGTCTGCAGAACCCCAGTCCTGCCCCATCCAGCCCAACAGGGCAGACACCTACCTTGCGTTCCAGACGTTCTTGGTCAAAGGCCAGTACACTGAGGCTGTGCAGGGGTCGAGCTGACCTAGGGGGTGGGAGAAGGAAGAGGTGCTAGAAACTAGCTGGGTTTCCCCAGCTCTGACCCTACTAATTCAATAGACACGCTGAACACTGAGGAACAACCTAGTGGGGTCAGTGATCATACCCTAGGCGACTGTGATGACAGGTGGTCAGAAAGGGCTTCTTGGAAGAGGTGATAGTCAGACTGGTACCCAAAGGAGTCAGAATTGGACAGACGAGCAGGAACACAAAGTGTTGGGGTAGGGGTGCTCAGGGCACTGGAACATAGAGAAGCCTAGAGACTAGTGTAGCCATGAACCAACAGGAGGAAGTGGGGAGAGAGAAAGTTGGGTATATGGACAATGATCAGATGGCAGAAGGTCTTAAAGATTAAGCTGAGGAGCTTAAACTGGATCTTTCAAGAGAAGGACAGACAGAATAGGTCCTGAAGGAGAAGAAAGAAAGAGTCTAATTTATAACTGATGGGACACTGTCCAGGAGGGGGTGAAATGGGAAGAGGGAGTTTCCCTCCAGCATGGCCTAACCCAGTCACCTACCTGTTCCCTGGCTCCCTCGAAGGGACAGGCACAGGAGGGGCCTTCCCTTTGGTCCCAGCAACCTGCTTCAGAGAACAGAACCAGTCTTATGAGTCCTGGCCTCCTGGAACCAAGCCTCCCTCCCTGGGGCTGCTGATGGGCAAGGAGTCTCACTGTGGACACAGCTGCTGGTACAGGGTCAATGACCAACCACCTCTCAGTTGTTGTCTCCAACTGCTGGGCTGTCAGTGGCTCCCGAATACGGACCATCACCTCCAAGCGCCCCCCTGTGGGCCTGCGACCATCCAGGACCTGGGTGGGAGTGAGGGAGAGTACTGGCAGTAGGCAGGGATAGAAACACAGGTCTGGGATCAGGGAGAACCAGAGTCATTTCCAAAATATGAGCCCAGGGGAATGCAGAGACACCAACTGGATCTGGTGCTAGGAGCATCTGAGCTTGGGTCCGATGGCCTGAGATTCCCCAGGGCAGGTCTGGGTCAGCAGAAGGTACCCCTAGGAGGTTCGGTACACGTAACTTTCGAGTAACAGCCACACCAAGCATTCAGGTGATTGTTCAGCTCTCACCTCAAGGATCTCCCGGATTTCACATGCTGTTTCCAGGGCATCCAGCTTCAGCTGGGCTGTGCCAAGAACTCGGTCAGTCTTGAACAGCCCCCTGTATGTATGAGGGGGACAGGATGCTTGGTCCAGAGTAGCTCCCCATCCCCCAGAGCCCATGCAGCACCCACAGTCACAGCTCACCCCTTGTGGACCACTTCAAACTTAATGCCTTTGCTCTGTATGGCCCTTCGGAAGCCACGGTGGCTGCGGTTAATGCAGAGTTTGAACTGCTCCTTGAACTCTGCCAAAGGAGTGGAGAGAGGACATTGACTGGGACCAGATTCTGGTCTCATGTTCCTACTGCATGGAGTAGGGGGGTGCTTCCCACTGAGGTTTACCAGGGGAGTCTGTATTCTTGATCACGCTGGTCTTATCTTTCTGAGCTTCTTCCTGCAAAGAAAAGGAGGCAGGAAAGCTCAGGAGCCTAGGGATTGGCCTTGGGCCCCTGCCCAGGCCTGATAGGGCTTGAACCCATTCTTCCTAGGCTCTCCACATACCACATTGGGGTAGGGGAAGTCGAACCGAACAAAGACATCCAGGTCACCAGGGGATAGCCCTGTGGGCAAACAAAGGTAAGAGCTGGGCAGAGAGGTGGCTCCCATGGCCCCAAGCCCTGCCTGTGGTCCCCTCACCTTGGGGTGTGGGCAAGTTGATGCCCTTCATGATGAACAGGAGCATGTCGTTGCTGCTGAGGTCGGGGAAGATCCTTCCAGGAGGGCATGTGAGGAGACAAAGACCTCAGCCCCACTGCCTATGCATCTTCTTTTTTCTCTGTGGGGACAGGGAATAACCTCCCCCCTACCCCAGTCTTTGGGGGTTCTGGGCTCAAGTTTTCGAATCAGACAGATTTGAAGTCTCTGGATTTCCTTTCCTCTGAGTTTGCACATATTTATTTGCTACCACTTTATGCTAGCCAGTAGTCCTGCTACTAGGGTAACTTTCTTCCCTTTCACAGTATTTCTAGGGCTTCCTACTATTTACCAACTGGTGCCCAGCTGCTGCGAGACCTTCTCTTCACTTGACAAGTGAAAAGCACCTACTATGTGTAGTCAGTGCCCCAGATGCCAGGGGACCTTCCCTTCATTTAACAATATTTCTCAAGCCCCTACTCTATGCCAAAGGCTGTCTCCACTGCTTGGGGACACAGAGAAATAAGGCACCTCTGTGGAGAATCTAAACAGAATTTTAGATTTTAGGGGACAGAAATGTGTGTTTGTAAGGGGCTGCTATAGTCAGGTGGTCAGGGAGGTCCTCTTGGGTGACTCAAGATGCCAAGGAGCTGCTTCATAGAGACTTGAGGAGAAGGGTCTGGGCAGAGGCAACAGCTGTGGGAAGGCCCTGCAGGAGAACATGCTTGGTTTCTCTGAGGGGCCCAAGGGAGGCCTGTGTGGCAGGAAGTAAGCAAACTGGGGATAGTGGGCAGACATAAAGTAACAGAGGCCAGGCCATACAGATGTGGGCATCCAGGACAAGAGTCCCTAGGTTCCCCTACGTGCATCAGGGAACCCCTGTGGCTGTAACTAGTCTCAACCATAAATAGGAAAAATGATCCCATTACCCTAGGGTGTGGAAAGTCATTAATCGAAGCAGGTCCTACAACCATCCCACGGGATGATTGTCCAGGCCTCTGGGACAAGGCTCATGTCCGCTCTCACTAGATCATCTCTATTTCCATGTGTCACTTTCAACACCCCCTCGCAATCAATCACTAGCTTCTTATGCCTATCTCAGACCTTTACACATGCTGTGCTGTCACCACCCATCCTCCTCCAGAAGCAAGTCTTCTGGCCCAAAGGGCATCCAGGCCAGGAGGCACTGGGGTCTTACTTGATGACACTGAAGGTCCTCTGCTCAAAGCGGGCATTGGGTGTGGGGAGGCCCCGGGCAAAGGCCTGCTTCAGGATCTCCATGCTCCGCTTACAGTCTTCTGCCAGCTTCTCAAATCTGCCAACGAGAGGGCCTTGCTCAGGTCCCCGATGCCAGGGCCAGCTGTTGGGTGCAAGTGTCTGGTGGGAGTCAGGTAGGGGCACTTACTTGGTGGTTTCAGCGATGTTACCCAGATGGGTAAACTGGCTAGAGTGGTTCAGGCACATCTGGGGAAGCAGAAGATGGTGTGTAGAAAGTTGAAGGGCCATGAAAGTGGGGGAGGTCTTCTCACACAGGCTGGGGATCCCCACCCTTACCTCATGCTGCTGCCTAATCAGTTTGGTGAGTTCACCATAGCGTCGGGCAGACTCCTGAGACAGACCAGGGTCTGGTCGTTGGACCAGGGCAAAATCATCCTTGTTGACTGGAGCTGGTGGCACCTGAGGAAGATAGAACTCATGGAGAGGGGCCTGCTGGTCAGTCCAGAGCAGGCCTATCCAGGGCTATGCAGGAACATTTCCTCTCTTTGGAGAGGTTTTCCCTGACCTCCACTGCATACCCTGCCCTTGCTTTTTCTTTTCCAAGAAGTTCAGAGAGAAGTGGATGGTCCTGCCCTAAGTGGCAGAATTTGTTAACTGTTTCCCCCTATTCTGATACCCAATCCCTCTTCCCTAAATGGAGTTCTGCCTGGGCACATAGTCACCCATCTGGAAACTACATCATCCAGCATCCCTTGAAGCTAGCTGTAGTCATGTGACTCGGTCCCAGCCAATGGGAAAATAGTAGAAATAAAGATCACTCCCTGTGACTTCCTTTAAAGGAAGTCTCTTGTCCTGACCTTTCACTCTCTCACCCCTTCCCATGAGCAGGATATAGACAGAACCATGATCTACTTGGTCTGTGGGCCTGAGGACAACCCTCAGGGTTGCAGCAAGGCAACATGATAGAAACCTGGGCCCTGGACCACACTTTATACATAAGAAACATGATGTTTGTCTTGTTTTGACTATGGCTTTGTGTGTGTGTGTAGGGTTGCTATTTATTATAGCAGCTTAACCTGGACCCTAATATATTCCAAATTCACATGGCCACTAAATGGCTGCAGCCTGATAGGTGTGCAGCTGGCAAGTTCTAGCAGATCTCAGGGGTTCACCTTGGTGATGTCCACGGGCAGCCCATTGCGTGAGGCCTCCAGCATGGGCTCTAGTCCCTTAGCCTGGCGTAGGTGCATTTTGGCGCCCTCCACATCATTCTTCTGTTTGGCTCGTAGTGCGGCCTGCAGGAGCTGCTTTTTGCGGCTCTCCAGGAAGGCTAGTTGCTGCTGGGCTGTGGACACACAGGCATCTGCAGGTGCTGTCCAACCCATAGCCAGGCAGGCAACAGGCAGCTGGGGCGAGAAGGGGGCACCTACCTCTCGTGGATGTACCTTTGGGGGCTGCTTTGGCTGTGGGAGCAGATCCTGACTGGGGTGTCCTTGAGGGTGGGGCTTTGGACTGGGTCACAGGGGCTGAAGGGCTATTGGGCTGCTGAGAGATGGAGAGGAAGTCAGAGCTTTCCCAGCAACAGAGAGGAGTCCACTCCCCAAAGGGTCAGGGCCCAACACCCAACAATGCTGATCTTGTTAGAGACTGTCTAACAAGCACTGTCTCCTCAGCACTGAAAATAGTTCTGTTCTCATTGAATTCCTGCACTCCTGGGAGGGAGGACTATTACTATTACTATGCCCACTTTCAGATGGGGAGACAGGCTCAGAGAGCAAAATGACTTGTCCATGGCCAAACTGCCAGGGCCAGGCTGTGAGGACAGCTTTTTCCCACTCAGGACGAAGGTGGCTGGGGCTTGCTGGGCTGCCACTCCTGCCTCAGCCCAGGCCCTTCATACCTTTTTAGGGTCCTCGTCCTCTTCATCCTCGAGGCCTTCGTCCTGGTTGGCCAGCTTCATGGCAGTCTCTAGGACGCCCACAAGGTTGGGCTGGGTGGGCTCGGTGGCCTCTAGGCCCTGGATGGGGGGAAAGCCTGGGCGGCCAGTTGGGGCCCATTAGGAGGGAAACGCCCACACCATGATGCTAAGGTTGTGGGTTCCTCCCCCTCCTAAGGAGTCCTGGGCCTTTGATTCTTGGAATCTAAGGAAGGAGCTGCTGCTGGCCCCATGTAGGCACCAGGCTACTGCGACCCCCTGTGTGTACCCTGGTTCTTTCCGCTGGCCCTGGGCTTTGACCAGACTTCAATAAGCAGGTATAAATGCGTCCCCTTTGTGAAGTGGGGTGCTGGGTTCTGGGGGTAGTCCTGGACCTGGCCAGACTCCTGGGGGGACTGAGATGCACAGAGATAATTGTTCTCATGGGGAACACAGCTCTAAGAACCTCTAGAGGCTTCCAATCTACTGGGGGACTGACGGAGGCTGAGCTGGTGCCTGCAAAGGTAAGAACTGATTACCAGAAAGAAGGGAGCGGAACAAAGAAAAAAAGAGAATAGACAGCGGTGGGTTAGCGAACAGGCTCTCTAAAGAAACCTCCCTGATTTTCAGTTATAACAATTTCTATGGTATAAACATTCCCAATTTCAGACTACTGACTGTTTAAAGAGTTCACAGAATCCCTGCATATGTAGTTATCAGTTCCTTGAGCCTATACAGTTAGAAGGAATAGCACCTGCAAAAGCTCAGTGGCTGAAGGGGTGGGGCTAGGGCAGGGCCTACCTGGGGGCACAGGTAGTTCAGCCACATCTACGGCTCGGCCAGCCTTGTGTGCTCGGATGGCATCTTGGTATTGCTGCAGGGGACACAGGTGTTAGGGCTGCCTGGACCAGGCCTCCAGGGGGTGCCCACCCACCCACTTGGCCCCCATGCACCTTGACAATGCGTTCATGCATACGAGACTTCCTTTGGTCTCCTTTGGTCTTGGCTTGGGCTGCAGCCGCATGGTATCGCTCCATCCGCTGTTCCAGAGCCTCCAGGAGAGTCTTTGGGGGTGTAGGAACCTCTGGGCGAGATCAGAAGGAGAGGACAGGGTTGGGAGTCTGGGGAAAGGAAGTCTGGCCTACCCACCCCAGGGGATCCCAGGAACCTACCTGGTGTGGAAGGTACCATGGTGGTTGCAGGCTGCGGTAGCAATGATGGTGGATCTGAAGGCAGCTGGTCTGGGGGCAGAGGTCCTGGGCCATGAAGGGCCTGCTTCCCCCTCCCCCAACCACCCTGGTCTGGCCTGAAGGGGTCCCTGAGCAGGGTTCTCACCAGGTGGAGGGGGTAGGCGAGACAGGTCCACAGATTCCCCCCTGTTCAAGGCCTCCAAGATGGCATCAAAGCTCTGGGAAAAGGCAGGAGGAAGTCAAAGGAGGCTGCAGCTGGATCCAGAAGCCTGTGAGGAGCCTCTAAGCCCTGCCATGAGGCAGAGGACTCCCGGCTCTATTTGCTCTTTGGCATCATCTTCTCAAGCCTCTTCTAACACGCCCATTTCAGAGAAGAGGTAAACTAAGGCTCAAGAGGTACAATAAACCATAGCTATTAAGTGGCCAAGAGTTGAGATTCAAATTGGGGTCTGTCAGACTCCTATTCTTTGCCACCATACAATGTTGGAAGCATCCTGTCCTATCCCTCCTGTCCTGTCCACCTGTCTGGATGTACCTTGGCCACACGGAAGTATCTGGCAGCGGTGGAGGTGTCTCCCTGCTGCTTGGCGTGGAGGGCGGCCAGCTTGTACTCGCGCTGGCGGCTCTGCAGCTGGGCCAGGGGGCCAGGGCTGCAGGGACCTGGAAGGGGGGACAGCATGCAAACCATTTCTATTTAATTCTCACAACAAAGGCTGTTCTTAGGCCCATTTATTTTATAAATGAGTACTAATGAGGCTCAGAGAAGGGATGCTGCCTCCCCAGTATCACACAGCCTGAAGATGGCAGGGTGGGGTCTCAACTCCAGATCTGTTAGGCTCCAGAGTGGCTGCTATTTTTCCCCCAAGAGAATTTGGGAAAGCCTATGTATCCTAACAAACATTAAGTTGACATCTAAAATTTTTCATCATTAAGTTTAAAAGGTGGCCAAGACTGTCACCCTGTGTCTTACAAATGTTGACATTCAAAAAGGAAATCTAATGCATTTCAAATCTAATGAATTTAACTACTGCGGAGATTTGAAATTCACCAATATTCAATTTATATATATATTTTTTAAGTTTTTAATTGTGGCAAGATATACATAAGATTCACCATCTTAACCATGTTTATGTGTGTAGTTCCATGGCATTTATTGTTGTGTGACCATCACTACCACCCATCTCCAAACTTTACCTTCCTCAACAGAAATTGTCCCCATTCAACAATCACTCCCCTTCCCCTAGCGCCTGACACCCACCAACTACTTTCTGTTGCTATGGATTTGTCTCCTGTAGGAACCTCATGTAAATGGAATTATAGTTTTTCCCTTTTTCGTTTAGCCATCCCACAGACGTGGGGGTATACAAATCTCCCTTCATGTGCCTGCATTCAATTCTTTTGAGTATATCCTAAGATTTATTTTAAAAATATATTCCAGGAATTTCACATCTTTTACTTACATCCATGTCCCCCATAAAATTGTATCCTAGTGTGATAGTGTGGATATCTGACAGCCTCTCTTGGAGGTACACCCCACTGGAAGTTTGTGCAACCAAGATACAACGGTACATTGTTGGCAAAGCTGGGCAGTGGAGGTTTTGCTTTTTAAATGGTATATTAATTACTGTTTCAAATAATATGCTCCATGTTTTCACGGAAAGTATCTCTAAATTGGGAGCAATGGGTGCAATTGTTGGTATGAATACAAGTCCAACAGATAATACCACTCAATATCCATAAAGCCTAGAAACACCTGAAAAACTGCACACTATGCCTCTGCAGACTCACAAGAGGTTACTCTGTCCTGAGTTAAGATGTCCTTGCCTGAAAAAGTGTCTGAGCTGAAGTGAAACGCCACCACTTGATCGGTTTTAGTCCCTGTCACTGCAAGTCACTCAGTATTTAAAAAAAAAAAAAGTTCTTGGGCCTCCCGGGTGGCACAGAGGGTTGAGTGCCACGTTGTGAAACTGTCTACAGCCTCTGCGGTGTGGGTTCGATCCCAGCTGGTGGGCAAGAATCTCATGTGGTGCAGCAGACCTCTCCTGTCGCACCCACTGCTCCCCTCAGCAGTGTATTTCTGTTGTCTGCCTGTTCTGCTCCCCGCTCTGCCTTTGGTGAATCTGTCACCCTCCCACACCTCTGGCCTATACCCCAGCTCTTGTATAAAAATAAATAAATCTTAAAAAAAAAAAAAAAAGTTCTTCCAGGTTGTTACTGTTACAATGACGTTTAGATGTAGTTCAGCGGAGCTACAATACATCCAGCTTTTTGGTAAGTGATTTTTATATACCACGAGTCAAATTTTTATTTGCAAGGCACCTCTTGCCAATGTAGTCAGGACTGGGTTCACCCTCCAACCTCTTGCTCTCACATTCATTCTTCTACTTTCCTTCTTACATTGTAGAGAAATCTGCTTCACACCAACATGTGGATGGGAAGAGATAGCTTCCTGTATTGCATTGTCACATGATTTCTTAAGCCCCTGCCCAGATATATGCCAAAATCCCATATGAATAATTTTTAGAGATTTTGGCTGAGAATTTCCAATCATCTCTAAGTCATTAGACACCAGCCTGGCTGCAGGAGGATCTAGTGAGCCAGTGGTCACCTTCTTAACTCTCACCAGTGTTTTAAGTTGTTTCTTTGGTTCCCACTAGGGGAGTACCATGATCATATGGAGGGAGGTGGGCATTCCTTTCCTAAAAAAGGAGGTAGGATTAGGAGAGCGGAAGGTTGGGAAGGAAAATCTCTTGGGAAGTTTGTTGCCCAGCAGGTAAATTTTAGGAGAAAAGATAGACAAGTTGAAGGACTAGGAATTACTCGCTGTGGTAGGAATATTAGTCCCACAAAGGCATGACGTTCTGATTCATGCAGCAACGTCACACTCCATCAAAGAAGCCAAAGGGCTATAGGAGTCTATCATGTGAAGTGTCCAGGAGGCAAATTCATAGAGACAGAAAGTAGAACAGTGCAGGGAAAGAGTAATGGGGAGTTAGTGTTTAATGGGAACAAAGTTTCTGCTTGGGACAATGAAAAAGTTTTAGAATTGGAGGAGATGGTTACACAACATTGTGAATGTGCTAAATGCTGCATGATGAAAATGATTAAAATGGCAAAAATTATGTTATTTATAGTTTATCATTACACACAAAAAAGCTCTCTGTGTGCCCGTGTGTCCCCTAGAAGGTATCAATGAACTCTTGGGGGCCTTAGGGCCTGGGAAACAAATAGGGTGTTGAAATACTTGAGGATCAGAGTAGAGCTGACAACCCTACAGAGGGGCCCACTGCTGAATTCCCCCACCTATGTCAGCCCAGCACTGCCTAAACTTACCTGGGGGTTTGGTGGAGCCTAGGGATGAGGCAGGAGCTATGGGAAGAGGGCCTTCCACAGTCACCCTGGACTCAGGAGTCGGTGGGTTTGCAGGGGTCAGCTGGGTGGGCATGAGGGTGTGGCTGGGTGTCACTGCTGGGCCCTTCCCTACAGCCACAGGTGGTGGAATATCTCCTTCATCGATGGTGTTGCCCTTCCGGACAGAGACCAGTAGGTTTTCCAGTGTCTGGGAGAAGGTGTGAACATGAGTTTGGGAGATGGTGGGGTAGGTGGAGGTGGGAAGGAGGCAGTGGTGGGATCCTGAGACTTTCCCATCTGCCCACTCACCTTCAACCCCCTGTCATAGCGCCGAATCTTGGCTCCGTCCCCAGCTTGCCTAGCGCTCTCGATGGCTGTCTGGTAGAGGACCAGTCTCTCCTGCAAAGTAGCCTCTACCCCTGGGCTTGTGGCTGCAGCCTTGGCCTTCAGGAGGGAGGAGTCAGGCAGAAGCGCTAGTTGTGATCCCACTTGGGTTCCTTCAAGGGCCTACTGCACCCTGGTCATGGGGCCCCTGGGCTAGGCACCCCCACCCCAGGGGGGAGGGACACACAGAAAATATCATCTTGGTTTCCTGGTACAGAAAACTCAGGTTTAGATGCATCCCATCACCCCCATGAGGTAGCATGGCTTAGAATGGAAGGGAGGGTCTTAAACCCTGGGACTGTAGAGAGCAGGGTTTGAGTCAGAGCTATACCTGGGCCACAGGAGGCTGGGACTCCAAAGTCTTCTGCTCCTCCCCAAGGACCTCATTTAGCTCTGCCTGCAGGGACACATGGCTAGGGTGAGGGGATAGAGCAACAACAGCAAGGGAGGCCCTGTACCCCACCCTGGGCACTCACCAGCAGGTCGTCATCTGCCTCCACATCTTCCTCATCCGTTCCCTCCTCCTCGTCTGGGTCTCTCATGCACAGGCTGGCCATCTTCTCAATGGCCTCCATGGGCAGGGGACCTAGTGGCAAGGGGAGGCCCCAGCTGTACCAGGATCCTTCAAGAGTTCCCATCCCAGGCTCCCATGGCTTCACAGAATGGGGCAGGGTAGGGGGTGGGGGCAGCACATCCCCCTCCCTGCCCTTCCAAGACATCCTATTGCCCTGGAGTCACCGGACATAAATAATCCTGCTCCCTGCTAGTCCTGCTGACCTCCTCTCTCCTTTGTCAAGCCTGAGTTTGAACCCCAGCTTTGCAACTTTCTGACTGTGGGACCTTGGGCAAGTCACTTCAGCTTTCTAGATCTCAGCCTTCCATCTGTTAAATGGGGACAACAGCTCCTTCCTCACCTCACAGATAGGTGGATTAAAGGTAAACAAAGCTCTTAGAACAGCATATTGTCAGCATTTTTTTAAAAAGATTTATTTATTTATACAAGAACCAGGATACAGCCCAGATGTGTGGGAGGCAAGAGGATTCACCAGAGACAGAGCAGGGAACAGCACAGACTGACTGAAACACACTGCTGAGGGGAGCAGGGGGCGAGACAGGAGAGGTCTGCCGAACCATGTGGGTTGCTCCGCCGCCGGCGGGGATGGAACCAGCACTGGAGAGGCTGCTGACAGCTTCACAGCGCGGCACTCAACTGCCTGTGCCACCAGGGAGGCCCTATTGTGAGCATTTTGCTATTCACCTTATTCTTGTTATTCATGGTGGTTAAATTCTATAAAGTTGACATGAACACTGACTCATTACCCTAGAGAAAATACAGATTAGGGTCCTGTGAGACTCCAGGTCTCTTTTTGTCAACAAATCAATATGTAACCTTGTTTTATAAGGTCATCTTATTTAATCTGTAGTGTTGATTCGTTAACATTGAACTCAAGGCCAAAAGAACTATAACTGATGCCTGCATGAAGCTTACCTAATACAGCCAACCTCTGAACAACACAGATTTAAAATGCTGGAGTGTGTATGGGGAGGGTACTTATACACAAATCTTTTTCAACACCTCCTCTTCCTCTTCCGCCTCAGCCTACCCAATGGGAAGTAGGACTTGGACTTGATGACAGTCCAAGTCCTTAATATTTTCTTTTCTTTAGCTTACTTTATAGTATGAATTCAGTATATGACAGATAACATAAAAAGTACATGTTCAGGGCCTCCCTGGTGGCTCAAGTGGTTAAGACGCAACCTGTGAAGCTAACTGCAGACTTTGCAGCAAGAGTTTGATCCCCGGCCAGGTAGCAACCCATATGGCGCAGCAGACCTCTCCTGACTCACCCGCTGCTTCCTTCAGCAGTGTATTTCAATCAATCTGCCTGTTCTGTTCCCCTCTGTCTCTGGTGAATCCTCTCACCCCCCGCACCTCTGGCCTGTACCTCCATTCTTGTATACACAAATAAATAAATCTTAAAAAAAAATACATGTTCATCCACTGTCTCTGTTCTTGGCAAAGCTTTCAGGCAAATGCAAGCAATTAGAAGTTAAGTCAAAAATTATACTTGGGGCCTCCCCAGTGGCGCAGTGGTTGAGCGCTGGGTTGCGATGCTGCCCACAGCCTCTGCAGCGCCGGTTCAATCCCCGGCTGTTCCCCGGCCACCGGAAGAGGGTCCCACATGGCGCGCAGACCTCTCCTGCCGCCCGCTGCTCCCCTCAGCAGTGTACTTCAGTCCTTCTGCCTGCTCTGCTCCCCGCTCTGGCTCTGGTGAATTCTCTCACCCTCCCGCGCTTCTGACTGTACCCAGTGCTTGTATAAATAAATAAACAAACAAATAAATAAAATAAATCTTTTTAAAAAAATATATACTTGGATTTTCAACTGCTAGGGGTCAGTATCCTTAACCCCCCACACTGCTCAAGGGCCAACTGTACATATTTTCTCCATAAGGCACATCACAGCCTTCCTGTAATCAAGGATGTGAAACAGTCCTTCAGCACCATGCTTTTGAGGCCATTTTGAATGGCAAATTCACCAAAAAGTATAAAAATTAGAAAAATTCAGCACTAAGTGGAACATGGGAAAGGGCATTTGTTTACAGTATGCTCTAAGCAAAAAAAATGGCAAGTGTCACCTTGCTCTCCATTAGCTGGGAATGTGCAAAACAGAGGACTCAACTTTTTGCAGCATTGCGCGTCTCTGATAATGATTGTGAAAGTGCCACAAATATTGATTTTGGGATTACAAATACATTTTAGCCAGTAGGCGAATTCACAAACATAAAATTTGAGAGTAATGAGGATTGACAAGCCTCCCTGGTGGCACAAGGGGTTAAGATGCAACCTATGAAGCTGTCTGCAGCCACTGCAGCACCAGTTCGATCCCTGGCCAGGTGAGCTACCCACATGGTGTGGCAGACCTCTCCTGTCTTGCCTGTTGCTCCCCTCAGCAGTACTTCAATCAAGTTGCCTGTTCTGTTCCCCACTCTGTCTCTGGTGAATCCTCCCACACACACACCCCCACGCCTCTGGCCTGTACCCCAGTTCTTGTATGCATAATCTTTTTTTTGAAAAAAAAAAAAAAAATGAGGATTGACTATATCAACTAAAAAGCACTAAGTCTCTGTTTACCCTCTGAGCTTCAGTCCCACTCAATGACTACAGTCCCTGCCTAGCCCCGGGGCCTTTGAATATGCTGTGTCCCCTCCCAGAAGTGCTCCCAACTCTTCACCTGGCTCTCCCCTACATGAGTGCCTTATCTAAGAATTCTTCCTGGCTCACAGGTCTTGCCTGATGCCCCATGGGACAGGGAAGGGACATTCCCCTTCCCAGTCCTGATCATGGAACAGCAGGTTGGAGGACATGCCAGGCTGGGTGTAAAGTGCTTTATAAATACTAGAAGATTAACTCCTGTGATGTAAATGCTGTCTTACTTCCATATTATAATCTAAGGCCCATATAGGTCATCAAGAACTCAGCAAATCACATAAGCAGTGAGTTGCAGAGATGGGATTTTAACTTCACTCTGGGTCCAGAATTGATGGCTTAACCTCTTACCCAAACTGTAGGTTCCAGATAGATATGTACTTTCTCTTTTTCACAACTAGCTCTGAATCCCTCCCACAATGGGAGTTCAGAAGATGTTTGGGGTGTGCATGGAGAGTCTCACCTTTGCCTTTCAGCTTCTCCAGGGTTTGAGGCTGGCCTCCCACCAAAGCCAAGAACTCAGCCTCCAGTTCCTCTTCATTAACACCATCCTCAGGGATCATTAGACCGTCTGGGGAGAGGTCAACCAGCAGACCCAGCTGTGGGAACAGTAAAGGTTGAGCCAGACTTTGGTATACTCCCTGGTTGACAGAGGCAGCCATGATGGACCCAGAGTTCCCTCAGGAAGAAGACAACCCAGGGTTCCTGGGGAAAGCAATTCTCTGGGGAGTGCCAAGAGGTTGAAACAGGCCCAGAAGGCAACAGGTGTCCTAAGACAGGCCAGGCCTTCTGGCACAGATCAACAAAGGGCAAAGGGCAGATGGAGTGACCAAGTTCCCACCCCGAGCCTATTCCCATGGTACACTGCTAGCTGAGTCAGTGGGCTAGCCTAAGGCATTGAACCCTACCCCAAAGCAAAGCCATTCTGCACACCACGGTTTTACCTTCCAGCTTCCCCAGCAGACAGGGCCATTCAGGAAGGTTAGAGGCATCAACAGCAAATAGAAGCACAAAAGTTGAAAATGGGGTCTTCATTGTGTAACAGACCTATTACTATCCTAACCTGATTAATATATGTTAAATTGAACCATACAAAATTGCCCTTTCTGTAGGTTAAAAATAGCTAAATTTTTTTTAAAAAATTATTATTTTTTAGCTTTCTTCCACCCCCTCAGATTGAATCCCCATAGAATTTCCTTCCCCAAGGCACCCATGCACCATCACCAGAGTCCCCTGTGCTCCTCCCTCCCTCCCTCTCATCCCTCTCCCTCCTCCTCCCCTACAGTATGTCTCTGATTTATAAGTGTGTGTTTTTGCTTTGTTGTGTTTTGTACTGTTATTATTTCTTTTACACTGATGTCTTATTTGGTTCCCCTATATTCCTGTTATAAGTGAAACCATCTGATATTTTTCTTTTTCCTTCTGGCTTATTTCACTGAGCTTAATTCCTTCTAGTTCCATCCACATTGCTGTGAATGGCATGAGTTTATCTTTTTTGATTGCTGAATAATATTCCATTGTGTATATATATCACATCTTTTTGATCCAGTTTTTTTTTTTTTGGGCATTTGGGTTGTTTCCAGGCTTTATCTATTGTAAATAGTGCTGTAATAAACATAGGTGTACAGGTGTTCTTTTGAATCAATGTTTTTGTGTCCTTTGGGTAGATCCCTAGTAGTGGAATTGCTCCATTTTTAATAGATTGAGGAACCTCCACACAGCTTTCCATAGTGGTTGGACCAGTGTGCACTCCCACCAGTAATGGAGAGTTCCTTTTCACCACATTCTCGAAAAATGGCTAATTTTTTTAAAAGTGCAAATATCAGCAATGACATATAGCTCCATCTAACAGCAATAATGATAACAATGTAATAGTAGTGATGAGCACATATTTGAGTGCTATGTTCTAATATTTTCCATAAAGTACCTCAAATGAGTTTCATAAGTGACCTGTGTCATAGGGGCTCTTAGGGCCTCCATTTCTACCGATGTGGAAACTGAGGTTTACAGCAGTAAAGCCAAATATACAAAGTACAGAGGCCGGGTGTGAACTTCAGGTTCAAATAGACTCTAAAACGTGGACACCAAATTATGGCCAGGGCTCTTTCTATCAAATCTGAGAAAAATCACTCTCCTGGTACCTGGGGCAGGGGAGATGGGGTACAGGGAAGGGGCCTTGCCTGTGGGCTCATAGCAGCAGCCCCGAATTTGCACTTCTCTGGTCAAGCTAATTAATCCCTATGACCTTGGGCAGATGTCTTCACCTCTCTGGGCCTCAGTGTCCTCATCTATATAATGGGGATAAAAGAAGTCTGACATGGTCCTATTGATGTGAGAGTTCCACAGGCCTCAGCCAAGGGAGCAGTAGCGTCCTTACCCCAGGTCCCAGGCCTTCCCTTCCCAACAGGAGCTGCTGTGGCAACAGGTGGCCCCCAGTCCGGGGCGTGGTGCCTGGAACTGGTGGGCAGGAGCCAGTAGGCCGCACTTTGGGGGTCAAACCTCCCCCAGGGGGGCTGGAACTAGGGATCACCTAGGGTTGGGGATCAGGTTCCCTGGGGGTGGGGCCCTCCTCTCTAGAACGTGCAACAAGGGTGGGGAGGGTTCCTTTCTCGGGGCCGTAGGGCACAGACTCACCTGGCGGGCAGCGGCGGCGCCTCGACCCGGGGTTCCCTTCCTCTTGTTCATTTTCCAGGCTGGATGTCCGGATCACTGGCCCCTCGCCCGGCCTTGCCCTGCCTCCTACCCCCACCCACCCCACGCCCCCGTGGCCTATCGCCGCGCACGCGCGCTTCCTGAGCCAGGCTCCTCTCGTTTGAGTCCCACTAATACCCACCCAGCGCACCGGGCCTCACCAGGTGGCCGCCCCACTTCCGCCTTGGCCCTCCTGCGCCGCTGCCAGGAGCGCGGTCACTCGACTTGCCGAACCTGCCACACTGAAACTACAACTCCCGGCAAGCAGCGCGCGAGCACGCATGCGCGCTGAGGGGTAAGTGGGCCGTGCCGCGGGCTACCGGCGAAAGAGGCGGAGTTTGTGCGTGTTTGAGAGGCGGTGCTGGCGTCACGCTTAGTGCGCGGAGAAAGAGGCGGAGCGTGTGCAGGTGTGATGGGCGCGGCCTGCTGTCTGCTTCTCGTCGTCCGGCGACAGCCTGGCGGACTCGATCTAGGAAGGCCTCATTTTTAGGTGGACGTAGTGTTAATGTGGCACCGGAACCCGGGTCCACAGCACTTAGGCCTCAGTCCTTCAGCTCCAATTTCCACCCCTGCCCGTTCTCTGTCAGGGCCAATTTTACCTTTTATTTTCTCAAAGAATTTTCACGCAAATAATTTAGCTGACTTGACCCCCAACAGATCCAGGTAGATCTACCTAGTTCCTGATAAGGACAGAGGAATCTCGACAACTTCTCTGACTCAGGTCGGTTTTGGCTTATTTGGCCCCCAAAGCTGGAAGGAATTGGCGGTGACTCCTGCCCCGCCAGGGCCCCAGGCATCTCCCCGAAGGTTACTCCTTTGAAGGTCCCCAGGTGTTCCCTGGAAAGTCCTGGATGTTCCTGGAAGGACCCTAGAGACCCCAGCCTGGACGGGAGGGGCTTCACACAGCCTACCCCAACTTAGGGACTAGAGTTGAGGTCTCCATGGTTTTCCACAAAGGACACCCCTCCCCTGCTCTCAGACCCTGGACACAAGATGGACAATTCCCTCCCTGTGCCCTGTGGCATAGAGGTTGACTTAGCAAACTGTGGTCCAAGGTAGCTGTAAATCCCACCCTGTGTCCTCTTGACACCCAACTGTCCTCTCAGGACAGCCCCATGGGCCAAGATAGGGGTGGGAATGGCTTCTGCATCAGCCAAGGCTACTAGACCTGTACCCAGGGACTGCTTATAATGATGGGATCTGCTTGTTTTCAGATTTTTCAAAGGAGGGATAAAATGAGTAAGAGGAAGAAGAGTCGAACCTCAGGTATATGTATGTTCATCTGTTTCTTCTTTATTGCTGCATCTGCTTATAGAAGAAATGCAGGCTTATTTATTGTGGGAATGCTAAAATGAACATCAAGCTCTGTAGAAAAAGCACGAAGACTTAATATATGCTAGAAAGTAAAGTATAAATTATGAAGAAGTGCATTCATCAAAAAGTGAAAGCTTTTTGGAGCTTCTTCCAAGAGTCTCACAGCCTAGGGGAAGACCCCAGGGAGCTGTGTAGCTGCCTTCAGGCCCTCTCTCAGAGATGACCTCTGAACAGAGCTTGAAGTGCTACAAGGCCATCTGGTATGTGACTCAGTGTTTCAGTCTAGAACCAGAACCCTGGTTCCTTTCTGCTTTTAAGGAAGTACCATTTTCTTACATCCTTATTAAAATTTTGACAGGATAGGGTTTCTCTGCTCAGATGTGGTCACTGTAGCCCTGGGTTCCTTTCATTTCTTCTCATTCTGTGATGGCAGATGACTCTGTGCCTCAGTTTCCCCCTTCTGTAATAGGGCCTAATAAGAGCACCCACTGTTTCCTTTAAAACAGTGACTCTCAACCTGGTTGGGGGAGGAATTTGCCTCCCAGAGAATATATAGTAATGTCTAGAGAATTATTTGGGTTTCACAGCTGATGGGTATGTTTTGGGGGGAGGTGGTACTAGCATTTAATGAGTTGAGGTTAGGATGCTCAGAATTCTACAATGCACAAGACAGCCTCCACAGCATAAAGTGATCCATCTCCAAATGTCAACAGTGCTCATCTGAGAATTGCGCCCTAGAGCTCACATGTGGATTAGTATTTGCAAAGCACCAAGAATGGACCACAGATAACAAGTAAATGTGTGCTGCTGTAAAAAGAAAAAAAGTCTTCATTTTGAAGTAATTTGGGAATTACAGAAAAGTTGTGAAAATAATTCAAGATTCTGTCTGCTTTTCCCCAGCTCCCCCTATTTTTAAAGTCTGACAGGATGATGATGATATATATAAATACATATATATGTATATATATATATATATACACACACACACACACACACACACAAACGTATATACAGTAGTACAGCATAAAAAAAGAGGAAGTGAATTTCAGTGCACTGTATCATCCAATCTTTGTCTATACAAATACAGTACTTCTATGGGAAAATAGAATCATCACACATACTGACCTGCATTCTACATTTTACACTTCAGGTATATCATGACTATCTTTCCTTATCAATATGCATGTAGAATTTCCTCATTCAAAAAGAAAAGTACCCAATATTATATGTTAGAACTCTATTTCCCTGCATTATCTAAAGTAATTTAAACTTCTTACCAGTTTAGAAATGACTTCTTAGTGTTTAATGAACTTAGAGTAGCACTCATTTTTTTCCCAAAACACGGGACAAGAAAGAAATTATTAACAAACTGAAAACATTTTGTGTTTATATGATCAACAGGCTGCTCAGAGGCACGGGATTTCTCTGACCTTGAGGAAGGAAGCTGGGGATGGCCAGGCCCACCCACAGTTGATCAATTGGAGCTTTTCTTGGCAGTGTCTCCCCAGTTTAGTGGACCAGGCTAGCCCAGGACAGCTGTTTTTGTGTGTCCTGGGTGGGGTCTCTTGAGAGGAAGACAATTCTGGCAGGTGTGAAAGAGACTGTTTCCTCTGTCTTTGACCTTTGGTGTTGAACATAAGTTTCTGCCTTAATATTTCTTAAAATTAACTCCTGTAGGGCAGATCATAGGAAGGAAATGGGAGGGTCTTCACTTCTGTTAATGTGTTATTGCTTTTTATTTAGTACAAATGTCCATTGGATCAGCAGAGCAAGCTAGTGTTTAGGCACCTTACGAAACACAATAAATGGGCAACTGTCCTCACGGGTCTTGCCTGCCTGTGACTATGGATTTGCCTCTCTTTTGTTCCTTCTTTTCTGATAAATCTGTCCTTTTAAAATGTAAAAGAAAGAAAGAAAGAAACCTAATAAATGAAGCTGCTGTATTTTGCCATTTCTGGCTCATCACAGAGGGGAAAGTGTTTGTGGAAAAAACATTTATAGAACTTTAATCTGGGTGCAATTCAGGGGTCAGCACTAGAGGTGCAGGTAAGAGGCAGGGCCAGGATAAAACCAAAGGTACCCAGACTTACTTCCTCACGGTGAAGTCAGGGGAAAGAAAACTTCTCACGGAGAGAATGTATCAAATAGATGGGAGTAAAGTTCTAAATGGACACACAGGAGACAGACTTGACCAAAATAGGAGAAATTACAGCAAATTTGTGTGGTCCAGAATAAGGCTGAGGAGGAACCAAGCAATTGGCGCTGAGAAATGGGGGTGCATATAATGGATTTGCTTCAAGATGGATAAGGAGGGACCTCCCTGGTGGCCTAGGGGTTAAGTCTCAGCACTATCACCACTACAGACTGAGTTCAGTCACCAGTCAGGGAGCTAACCATACGGCGAGACCTCTCCTATCTCCCATGTTCCTCTTAGTATATTTCAGTAAATCTGCCTATTCTGCTCCCCACTCTGTCTCTGGTGAATCCTCTCACACACACCCTCCCACCTCTGACCTATACCCCAGCGCTTGTATTCATAAAAAATAAAATAAATTTTTTTAAAAATTCTCCTTAGTTTTCATCTTTCACCTGTCACATTTTGCTCACATTCTTTTTTTTTTTTAAAGATGTGTTTATTTATGCATACAAGAGCAGGGGTACAGGCCATAGATGCAGGGTGGGGGGGTGAGGGGATTCACCAGAGACAGAGTGGGGAACAGAACAGGCAGATTGATCAAAGTACACTGCTGAGGTGAGCAGTGGGTGAGACAGGAGAGGGCTGCTGCGCCATGTGGGTTGCTCCCTGGCCAGCCGGGGGATCGAACTTGTGCTGCAGAGGCTACGGACTGCTTCATAGTGTGGTGCTTAACCCCTTGTGCCACCAGGGAGGCCCCAAAAATAAATCTTTTTTTATATTGAATATATATTTAATTTCCAAATTAAGCATTGAGCTTTTTTAATATTGAATACATATTTAATTTCCAAATTAAGCATTGGACTTTTTTTTTTTTAAATCTTAAAAAAAGGGAATATAGGTCAAAAGGGATTTGACTGAACCCCAGGAAGTTCCAGCCTGGGTCCCGTTTGTTCTCTTCATTGTCAGAAGTAAGGTACATCGGCACTCAAGGAATGCTCAAGGACACTTGAGTGTACTGGCTCCACAGTTGGACTGCCCAGATCCCATTCCAGATTCCCTGGCCTCTGTGTGCCTTGCCTTTGTCAACCAATATGATGGGCATAACATACAGAGAGACACAACCTTGAAGTTGCATCATAACACACAAATTCTCAGGACAATGCCCGGTATGGAACTCACTAGAGACAACTCTCAGCATTTGTTCATTGAATAAGTGATTAGATTGGGCTCAGATTTGGGAGGAGTCTTACAAGCCAGCCATTACTAGCAGTTTTCTGTGTAAGGAGGTTTCCTTTATTAACAAATAATAAGTTACTTTTAGGCTCTAAATTGCTTTCAGTGATGGGGAAGGTATTATAGAGATAGAAGGGGCCAAAAGGAGACCAAGACATTGCTTCCTAGTACTTGATCACTCTGGGATCTTGTCTCCCCAGAGTGAATGTTCTTAGGGCATCATGGAAAACTAGAGTGGTACATAATTTAGTCTTTAATGGTACATGATACAATGTTTTCTACATGTGTTTATTCCATCCTCTACCTAGTATTTATTGAGTACCTACAGTACACCAGATGTGCCCTTTAAGACTCAATAAGGAGTAAGGCAGGTGAGGCCCCTCTTTACAGGTTGTAGTGGGAGAGAGACATAAAATAACCCTATACATTGGATACTTCCCAAAAAGCTGTAACATGAATAAAACTGAGCTTGGCCTAAAAGGGAATCTTTTGCAGAGAAGTCAGGGATATCCCCTTTGCAGGGAAAGTTAAGCTGTGACCTGAAGGGGCCAGCAATTACCTCCAACCACTTCCTCAGAGAGACAGACAACTGGATCAGGCCTGGCCGTCTTGGGATTTATGACTGAGGAGTCATGGCCTTCTAAATCCTACCTGCACGTGATTCTAACCTCTCTCCTGCTCTCCAGGTGGCCATCGGAGCAGGGGTTTCTTGCCCTTGGGTATGCCTGCCTACCTCACAGCACCCAGAGGTGAATGCTCCTGGTATCCTTCCACTTTCTTTGTCTCTCAATCAGGAGAAGGGAGCCGTCCTCCAAAACCCCCAAAGAATGCAAGGCTGGAAGAGTCTGATGGGATCCCTCAGAGTTTTGAGCTGGACCATTTGCATCATCCCGAAGAAACAGAAGGCAGATCAGGACCCATTCCCTCTGCAGATTGGCGCTGGGAGGAGCCAGGAGGGGTGGCCTCCAGGTAAGTGGGACAAAATATTCCAGCAAAAATAACATGGTGGCTTGGGCCTCCCTGGTGGTATTGGGGTTAAGTCTCAGCGCTATCACCACTACATTCTGAGTTCCATTCCTGGCCAGGGAGAAACCCACATGGCGCAGCAGACCTCTCCTGCCTCACCCGCTGCTCTACGCAGCAGTATCTTCAGTCAGTCTGCCTGTTCTGCTCCCTGCTCTATCTCTGGTGAATTCTCTCACCCTCCCGTGCCTCTGATTGTACCCCAGTTCTTGTATAAATAAATGAATCTTTAAAAAAAAATAACCTGAAATAAAACATAACATACTGGCCCAGTGGACAGAATATAAAAGGGGAGGGGGCCAACATGACCAGTACAGTGCCAAGCATGCCTCCCACCAGGGGCTCAGGGCCTGGGATTGTGCTTCTTGAAGCTTTCCTCCTATGCCTCTCGACTCTAGAAATTTGCATTTCAACCATAGGCAAGGAAAACCTGACATTTTCTTTTTTTTAATTTTTATATTCCCCATACAATTGCAACACCCTTATTTTGACCCCAATCCCTCCCCTCCCCATCCCCCACCCTCCATAGAGTGTCTCTGGTTCATAGTTTTTTGTTGATTTTGATTTTCACTTTCTTATAGTTATTCTTTTTCCTGGTGCCTTATTTAAGTTTTCTAGATTCCTGCTATGAGTGAGACCATTCGGTATTTTTCTTTTTCTTTCTGGCTTATTTCGCTGAGCATGATCCCTTCCAGCGCCATCCATGTTGCTGCAAATTGCATGTGTTTATCATTTTTGAATGCTGAGTAATATTCCATGGTGTATATGTACCACATCTTCTTGATCCAGTCATCTATTTTTGGGCATTTGGGCTGTTTCCAAAGCTTAGCTATTGTAAATAGTGCTGCTATAAACATAGGGGTGCAGGTGTTCTTTGGAATTAGTGTTTCTGTGTCCTTTGGGTAAATACCTAGGAGTGGAATTGCTGGATCATATGGAAGCTCTATGTTTAGTAGGTCAAGAAATCTCCACACAGCTCTCCATAGTGGTTGGACCAGTTTGCACTCCCACCAACAGTGCAGGAGAGTTCCTTTTTCTCCACATCCTCGCCAACATTTGTTGTTGCTAGTTTTTTTAATATGTGCCATTCTCACTGGTGTAAGATGGTATCTCATGGTAGTTTTGATTTGCATTTCCCTGATTACAAGTGATGTTGAACATTTTTCCATATGCCCGTTGGCCATTTGCATTTCCTCTTCAGAGAAGTTTCTTTTTAGCTCTTCTGCCCATTTTTTGACAGGATTATTTTCTTTGTTGTTGTTGAGTCTCATCAGCTCTTTGCAGATTTTTGTGATCAGTCCTTTATCATTAGTGTTGTGTGGAAAAATGTTCTCCCAGTTGGTGGGGTTTCTCTTTGTTTTTGTTATGCAGAAGCTCTTTAATTTGATGTAGTCCCAGCTGTTTATCTTTGCCTTCACTATCACTGCTTTGGGTGATGTGTCTGTAAAGATGTCTTTGATGTGCATATAACAGTGTTTCGCCTATATTTCCTTCTATGTATTTTATGGTTTCAGGTCTTATGTCTAGTTCTTTAATCCATTGTTGAGTTGATTTTTGTGTATGGTGTGAGGTAGTGGTCAAGCTTCATTCTTTTGCATGTAGTGACCCAGTTTTCCCAGCACCATTTATTGAACAAACTTTCTTTGCTCCTGTGCATATTCTTTGCTCCTATGTCAAAGATTAGTTGACCATAAATCTGTGGGTTTATTTCTGGATTTTCTTTTTTTTTTTTCTTTTTTTTTTTTTTTTTTTTAAATAGAGGCATGTTTTATTTATTTGTTTTTGTTTTGCTTGTTTGTTTTGTTTATACATGCACTGGGTACAGTCAGAAGCGCGGGAGGGTGAGACAATTCACCAGAGCCAGAGCGAGGAGCAGAGCAGGCAGAAGGACCGAAGTACACTGCTGAGGGGAGCAGCGGGCGGCAGGAGAGGTCTGCACGCCATGTGGGACCCTCCTCTGGTGGCCTGGGAGCAGCCGGGGATCGAACCGTAGCCGCAGAGGCCGCGGGCAGCTTCGCAACCCTATTTCTGGATTTTCTATTCGATTCCATTGGTCTGTGTGTCTTTTCTTGTTCCAATACCATGCATTTTTGATGATTATGGCTTTGTAGTATAGTTTGAAGTCTGGGAGTGTGATGCCTCCATTCCCTTCTTTTTTTTTTTCAGGAGAGCTTTGGCTTTTCAGGGTTTTTGGTGATTCCATATGAATCTCATCAATAATTGTTCTATTTCTTTGAAGAATGACATTGAAATTTTTATTGGAATAGCATTGAATCTGTATATTGCTTTTGGTAGGATGGCCATTTTAATAATGTTTATTCTTCCAATCCATGAGCAGGGGATGTCTTTCCATTTCTTTGTTTCTTCTTCTATTTCTTTTAATAGTGTTTTATAGTTTTCTTTGTATAGGTCCTTTACCTCTTTTGTTAGATTTATTCCCAAGTATTTGATTTTTTTTTTGTTTCGATAATAAAACGGATGTTTTTTTTTTATTTCTTCTTCTTCAGATTTTTTGTTTGTGTATAGGAAGGCTACTGACTTTTGCGTGTTGATTTTGTATCCTGCCACTTTACTGAACTGACTGATGAGTTGAATTAGTTTTTCTGTGGAGTTTTTGGGGTTCTCTATGTATATTATCATATCATCTGCAAATAGTGATAGTTCGACTTCTTCTTTTCCTATTTGGATTCCTTGTATGTCTTTCTCTTGTCTTATAGCTCTGGCTAGGACTTCCAGTATTATATTGAAAAGCAGTGGTGAGAGTGGACATCCTTGTCTTGTTCCAGATCTTAATGGAAATGCTTTCAGCTTTTCACCATTGAGAATGATACTGGCTGTTGGCTTGTCATATATGGCCTTTATGATGTTGAGGTATGTTCCTTGTATCCCAAGAATTTCAAGGGCTTTTATCATGAATGGGTGTTATACTTTGTCGAAAGCTTTCTCAGCATCTATTGATATTATCATATGGTTTTTATATTTCTTTTTGTTGATGTGTTGGATAACGTTGATTGATTTTCAGATGTTGAACTATCCTTGTGTCCCTGGAATGAATCCTACTTGGTCGTGGTGAATTATCTTATGGATACATTGTTGGATTCTGGTAGCTAAAATTTTATTGAGGATTTTTGCATCCATTTTCATTAGGGAGATTGGCCTGTAGTTTTCTTTTTTTGTGTTGTCCTTGTTCGGTTTTGGTATTAGTGTAATGTTGGCTTCATAGAACGTGTTTGGTATTGTCCCTTCCTTCTCAATTTTTTGGAAGAGTTTTTGAAGGATAGGCACTAATTCGTCTCTGAATGTTTGGTAGAATTCTTTTGTAAATCCATCAGGTCCTGGGCTTTTGTTTTTGGGGAGGTTTTTGATTACCATTTCAATTTTGCTGTGGTCTGTTTAGGTGTTCTATTTGTTCTAATTGGTCTGTTTAGGTGTTCTATTTCTTCTTTATCTAGCTTTGGGTGATTGTAGAGTTGTAGGAATTTGTCCATCTCCTCTAGATTGTTGAACTTGTTTCCATGTAACTGTTCATAGTAGTTACTGATTATTCTTTTGATTTCTGCTGTGTCCGTTGTGATTTCTCCTCTTTCATTTATGATCCTGTTTATTTGTGCTTTCTCCCTTTTTTCCTTTGTGAGCCTGGCTAGGGGTTTGTCTATTTTATTGATTTTTTTCAAAGAACCAGCTCTTGGTTTCATTGATCTTTTGGATTGTTTTTTCAGTTTCAATTTCATTTATTTCTGCTTTGGTTTTTATTATTTCTTTTCTTCTACTGGTTTTGGGTTTTTTTTGTTGTTGTTCTTTTTCTAGATCTTTGAGCTTCGAGATTAGGTTGTTTCTTTGAGTTCTTTCTTGTTTCTTGATGTGAGCCTCTATTGCTATATATTTTCCTCTTATTACTGCTTTTGCTACATCCCATACATTTAGGAAATTGGTGTCCTCTTTGTCATTCAATTCAAAGAATTTTTTAATTTCTTCTTTGATCTCCTCATTAGTCCAGTGGTCTTCCAGTAGTGTGGTTTTCAATCTCCATGAGATAGGATAGTTCCTTGCCTTCTTTTTATGGTTTATTTCTAGTTTGATGCCTTCATGGTCAGAAAAGATGGTTGGTATGATTTCAATCTTGGTGTATCTGTTGATGTTTGTCTTGTGTCCCAGTATGTGATTGATCCTGGAGAATGATCCGTGTGCACTTGAGAAAAATGTGTACTCCGTTTTTTTGGGGTTTAGTGTTCTATAGATGTCTGTTAAGCCCAAGCGCTCTGGATCCTTATTTAGAGCTTTAGTGTCTTTACTTATTTTTTGTCTCGTTGATCTATCCATTGTTGATAGTGGTGTGTTGAAGTCTCCCACTATGTATGTGTTTTCTCTGATGTCTGTTTTCAGAGATGACAATAGTTGTATGATATATTTGGGTTCTCCTTCGTTTGGTGAATATATGTTAATGAGTGTTATTTCTTCTTGAAGTATTGTCCCCTTGATCAAAATGTAGTGACTGTTGAGGTCTCTTTTTATCTTTTTGAGTTTGAAATCTGTTTTATCTGATATAAGTATAGCTGTTCCTGCTTTCTTTTTTGGTCCATTTGCTTGTAGGATTGTTTTCCATCCTTTAACTTCGAGTCTATTTTTATCTTTTGTAGCTAAATGTGTTTCCTGGAGACAGCAAAAGGTTGGGTTTTGTTTTTTAATCCAGCCTGCGACTCTGTGTCTTTTTATTGAAGAGTTTAGTCCATTTACATTTAGAGTTAATATTGATATGTTAGCATCTGTGTTTGCCATTGTGTTTGTCTTTCCTTTGATTTTATTTATTTACTCTTTTAATAACTTTTTTTTAACCAGCTATTCCTGATTTTATTTTATTTTATTTTATTTTTATTTATTTATTTGTTATTTATTTATTTATTTTTATTTATACAAGCACTGGGTACAGTCAGAAGCGCGGGAGGGTGAGAGAATTCACCAGAGCCAGAGCAGGGAGCAGTGGGCGGCAGGAGAGGTCTGCGCGCCATTTGGGACCCTCCTCCGGTGGCCGGGGAGCAGCCGGGGATTGAACCGGCGCTGCAGAGGCTGCGGGCAGCTTCGCAACCCAGCGCTCAACTGCTGCGCCACCGGGGAGGCCCTTAGTAACTTTTTTTTTTTTTTTTGGCCTTCTTTCGTTATTATTTGTCCCTCTGAGGTTCTGGCTTTAGGACTCCTTGTAGTATTTTTTGGAGTGGGGGTTTAGTCGTAATGAAATTCCAGAGTTTCTGTTTGTCTGGGTAGGTCCTTATTCTTTCTTCATAGAGGAAGGAGAGCTTTGCGGGATAGAGTATTCTTGGTTGGCATCTGTTTTCTTGGAGTCTGTTGACTATGTCCCTCCACTCTCTCCTTGCCCGTAGTATTTCTTCCAAGAAGTCTGATGTCAGCCTGATTGATTTTCCTTTGAATGTTATCTGTTTCTTCCCTCTTGTCAGCTTCATTATTTTTTCCTTGTCCTGGATTCTTGGGAGCTTTACTATTATGTGTCTTGCTGTATTTTTTCTTTTGTCGTGGAAGTTTGATGTTCTTCTTGCTTCTTGTATATCAATTTTCAGCTCCTTCTTCACGTTTGGGAAGTTCTCTTCAATTATCTCCTTAAATATTTTCTCTGTTCCTACATCTCTCTCCTCTCCCTCTGGTATTCCTATAACTCTTATATTTCCTTTCCTCATGGAGTCAGATATTTCCCGAAGTCTTTCTTCAGTCTTTTTCCTTCATACTTCTCTTTCCTTTTCTGTTTTGGTTCTTTTTATTTCTGTGTCCTCAAGAGTACTTATTCATTCTTCCATTTCATCTATTCTGCTTTCATTGCTTTTCCCAGAGTTCTTTTGCGCCTCCATTAATTCTTTGATCTCTTGCATTTCTTTTACTTCCTTCTTTAGGGACTCAATTTCATTCTTCTGATCTTTGATTATTTTCCCCTTATCATTGTTTTCCTTTATGACTTCTGTCAGTTTTTTAATCATGGCAATTTTAAATTCTCTTTCTGGAAGGCTCAGAAGTTCTTCCAAGTTACTGTCGTTGCAATCTGGGGGGTGGTTTTCTTTTTGTGGTGTGGTTTTTTCCTGAGGAGTTGCTGGGTTGTGTGTGGTTCTTCTACTCCCTACTGTCTGTTTTCTAATTTGCCGTATGCATTGGGACACTAGGTTGCTTGGACTGGCCGGCATCTTGGGTGAACTTCTCCGCTCCCCTCTGGCTCCTCCGGGAGCCATCTGTCACTTTCAAGCAGTCTTTACTGAAGAAAGGTCCCTGTTCTAAAATGCCGATGCGGGGACACGCTCCCCTGCACGCCTGGTCTGCCCCAGCGGTGGGTTCCCACTCCCCCTCTGGGCTCGGATTGCAGGCCAGAAGGGGCCTGGCGTGAGCGAACTTCCCAGCTCACCCCTGGTTCCTCCGGGAGCCTTCTGCTGGTTTCAGGCAGTCTTTACTGTAGAAATGTCCCTGTTCTAAAATGGCGATGCGGGACGCACTCCCTGTGCGCCTGGTCTGCCCCAGCGGTGGGTTCCCGCTCCCCCTCTGGGCTCAGACTGCAGGCCAGATGGGGCCTGGCGTGGGTGAACTTCCCAGCTCACCTCTCTCAAGCAGTCTTTACTGAAGAAAGGTCTCTATTCTAAAATGGCGATTCAGAGACAGGCACACTCTTCCGCGCGCCCAGTCTGCCCTGGCCGTGGGTGCCCACTCCCCTCTGGGCTCAGACTGCTGGTCAGAAGGGGCTTGGCGTGGGTGAACTTCCCAGCTCACCACTGGCTCCTCTGGGAGCCTTCTGCTGAAAACCAGACATTTTCAAGGTCACTTAACAGCTATGTCCTAGCTGGCTGGGACAAGTTCATATTTATCCCACATTCCATTGTTTTGTTTCATATTTATTCATTTTCCCCCATAACTCTTCTTAATCAAGAAGGAATTCAGAGTCCTGTTTATGAAATAATAGCCAATAAGAGAAGTACAATCATCATGTTCAGCATGCTAATAGTAAACATATATATCAGTTCATTGACTCCTCAGAGCACTGAAAAATATTTTTCTGTCCCCAGTTGACAGGTGAGGACCCTGAGGCTAGCACATGACTTACCCAAGGCCACTGCACTGATGCAAGGCACACTGGGGTTCTGGTTGTATCTGATTCCTGTGCTCTTAACAACTGTAGTTTCCCAGTACCCCCCTTTTTTTTTTCAAGAAATATGTAATTAAGCATGGTGGAAAAGAAAGACCTGAAAAACAGTTTATTCTTTCCACAGTGTTAGACTACATATAACTATAGCAAAGTAGAAAGGGGAGCTAGCAGGAGTTAGGAAAGAGAGATTCCTGCTAGCCAGAGTCTAATTCATAGATTGAACTAGGAAATTTTCTGAATATAAAATTGAGGCATGTAATTCTGACAAAACTGTTTTCATGAATGGATATGGTGTGTCATCTCGTCATTGCTGTCTTAGGACTAAAGGCATCCCTGTTTTCTGTATAGGTCAAATAGGGCACCACATGTCACATTTAAGCCTTCTCCCAGACATTACAGTGTCACTGTGTTCCTCACTGTGGAGAGACCAAGAGGGTTGATGGAATCTTGGCTACTGCCCACCTTGCTTTCTGAGTCCACAAGGACAGTCAGGACCTACAGAAATGGGTCCCTGCCCTTCTTCTTTTCTTTTTTTAATGTCTTATTAATACCACATACACAGAAATACATCCCAGAAGTCTCCGAAACAATCCATCCTGATTAAACATTTTTGAAAGAGTTGCTATCAGTTTCTAGACTGATTTTGCCTCCATAACTTCCACTGACATAGTTTAAGCCGATTAATGTATCTTCATGCTTTTTTTAAAAGATTTATTTATGCATACAAGAGCTGGGGCGCACGCCAGAGATGTGTGGGCTGAGAGGATTCACCAGAGACAGAATGGGGAGCAGAACCGGCAGATCTATTGAAATACATTGCTGAGGGGAGCAGTGGGCAAGACAGGAGAGGTCTGCTGTGCCATGTGGGTCACCTCCCTGGTGCTCTGTGGCTGCGGATAGCTTCATATTGCTGCATCTTAACCCCTTGTGCCACCAGGGAGGTCCCTGTTTCTTCATGCTTTTTCCTACTCTACTTCCAAAGTTGAAATCATGGGAATTTTGGTTCTAAATTTTTATCTTTTTTTTTTACTATATTCAGATCCACATGTATTTAGCTATAACTGTCTCGTCATTTTTTTAATAAAAAGTCCTTGTTTTTTTAGAGCAGTTTTACCTTTACAACATTGAGGGGAAAGTACAGAGATTTTCCATATACCCCAGGCCCCAGCTCATGCAAAACCTCCCTCATTATTACCATCACTCACCAGAATGGTACATTTTTTACAAGGAAGAACCTACATTGACACATCATTATAACCCAAAGTCCATAATTTACCCTAGAGTTTATTCTTGGTATTGTGCCAAGAGAAAACTCTATGAAAATCCTGTTAATTTGGTGTGAGTCAATTCTATGGGTTTGGATAAAAGTACAATGACATATATCCACAATTATAATATCATACAGAGAGTATTTTCATTGTCTTAAAAATAACAATTACATATCCATCTCTTTCCCACCCCTGACTGCCATGTATATTTTACTGTCTCCGTAATTTTGCTTTTCCCAGAATGCCATATAGTTGGAATCATACTCATATAGCTTTTACAGAATGACTTCTTAGCAATGTGCTTTTAAGTTTCCTCCATGTATTTTAATGACTTGATAGCTCATTCCTTTTGGCATTAAATAATGTTCTATCATCTGGATGTACCACAGTATATTTATCCCTTTACCCACCAAAGGCCACCTCAGTTGTTTCCATGTTTTGGCAATTATGAATGTACCCTTTTTTTTTAGTGTCTTTCATACCAACAACTTATCTTCTCTTGAATTTGCAGAGTTGAGGACGGGAGTATCATCAGTCCCAGTGAGAATCCCTGTTCTTATTTCAGGAGTCTGTTTCTGGGATTATATGGGCAAAGTGCCATCAGAGCAGGTGCTTGGATTCTGGATGCAGGACTTCACCCACTGCCCAACAGGTGTTACCTGGAACATGGCTGGCCCCTCCACACCACCTTTCTTTAAAGACATTCCAGAGCCTCCCATTTAGGAGAGATGTTTAGCGCTACTTTTCCTTTGAATTTCATTCTCTGTATCACTACATATGTACACTGACAGCCTGGAGGACATTAGAACCTCCTCTTCTATTTTGTCTCTCTCCACCAGCTTCCCTGATGAAGAAGCAGGAGCTCCCTCCAGGCTCCTCAGACGACCAGAGAAGGAACAAGTCCCCATACCTCCTTCCCAGGTTAGCCTGATTTGTAGCCTCAAGTACATACAGAGGACACTGCCTCCCTTCAACTGAATGCTGCCTCTTCATTGTCAGCAGCTGCTCACAGTCTACAGAGGCTGGTGGGAGTATTTGCTGGGGACTATGGATGAGGGCCACATGGGAGATAAGAAAGAAGCTGATATTGGGAGTGTGCTTGTTTTTTTTTTTCCCCCTGCAGCTTCATTACTTATCTGTACTGATGCTTATTATTGTTACATCTGGTTCACAGAGCTCAGTTGGGAGGTTTGTCCCCCAGTATGCAAAACCCAGGATGACAGCAACACAAACAGAGACAAGGGAAGAGGACCTCATGAGTAAGGCCTTTCGCTCGGTAAGGACCTAAAATTGGCCAGGCTGAGCCCTGTAGATGCACAGCCTCTTGGCCCAGCCTCAGCGGCTAAGTGCAGCCTTGATTTTCTTTGGCAATAGCTAGACCTGCACCACTTAACCCCCCAGCTCTCTATTTTCAGTGCATGACACCACAGGTGTATATGGATGCACAGGTTTTCACAGACCTGTTAAAAACCCTCAGGACAGCTTTACACACACTGAAGCATTCAAGGCCAGAGCGCCTTTTTGCCCAGGATACATGAGGGTGGTAAAATTCAGTAAAACGTCCACTCACATGCTATCCCTGAACCCCTTTGCTTCTCAGAAACTTTACAGCTTGTTCTCTTGTCCTTACCTTCAAGAGATCCAGGGGTTACAATGTCTCTGGTAGCGTGCACCCAAAAATATGAGTAATATGCATCCCCAGCAGCTGTTTAGTGACCTCCAAGATCTCCTTTAGTGGGTGAATGGTTAAACAAATTGTGCTCCTTTCATACCATGGGACATAACCCAGAAATAAAAAAGGATGTAATTAGTGATACATACAGTTACCTGGGTGGATGTCTAGGGCATTATGAGAATGGGAAAAGCCAGCCCCAAGAGTCATGTACTGTAGGATTCTGTTGACAAAATTATTGATTGGCAGAATTATAGGATGAAGGAGAGACTGGTGGTAGTCATGGTTCGGAAACAGTGGGTCGTTGTGGGTGGGAGGTGGGTGAGGCCACAAATGGCAATATGAGGGATCCTTGTGTTGGGGCTCTTCAGTTTCCTAGATATGGGGGTGGATACACAGTCTCCACTAAAAAGATACCCTTCCACAACATAATGTACACACGCCAACAAGTACATGTACACAAGAGAGCCAAATAAGGTCAGTAAATCTGATTGATGTCAGCATCCTGGTTGTGATTGCACATTACACACTCAGTTCTGCAAGGTATTACCTTTGGGGCAGCTGGCATAAGAGATCTTTCTCCATCATTGCTTACAACTATGTATGAAAATACAATGACCTCACAAAATGTTTAATTGAAAAAAGAGAATCAATAATCTTGCCATCATTGGTATCGCTGAGCTGGGTAGTTGCCAGTGGCTTCACTAAAGCCACATCGACTTGCCTTGCCCTTCAGTGGTCTAACATTTGCAGTGTGGACCCTCTCCTAGAAAGGTCAGACCTGGTGGGTGTAAAGAAATAACTTGGAGGAGATGTCTCCCCTCAGCACTGACAATTGTGTGAAAGAAGTGGAGCACAACTGTTGTCTGTGGGTGCCTAAAGGCACAGGACTCAGTCTCTAGTATTGAAATGACTTATTTACAGTTCATTTTAAAGGGTGAGCTGATGGTGAGTGTGAGAGAAGAAGAGTGGTGATAGGTTGACGCTGCATGTGGGGCCTGAATGACTTCAAGGAGGGAGTTGATGTTGGTTGATACAGAGAGATTTTGAGGGGGACGCTCAGGCCATGCTGTTGGTTATGTCACATGGAAGGTGGCCCAGAGATGCCAGGTATCTTCAGTCGGACAGATCTGGGTTATAGCAACTAAAAAGGTTTAGACCTGAGCACCTGGAAGAATGGGACTCCCATCTAACCTAGGTATTGTGCTCCATTTGGGTCCCAATTGAGATCTCCTCTCCCCGAGCTGCTTTATGGACATTTCATTATGGACATTTCATTTCCCTCTCTCTTTTGTAACTTTTTAATCTTGAAATAAGGATAAACTCATAGAAAATTGCAAAATGATATAGACTCAAGTGCCTACAGACAGATGAATAAACAAAATGTGGTATATGCATATGCAGGAACAGATATTTGTACCCCCATGTTCATAGTGGCATTATTCTCAATAGCTAAAGATAGAAGTAACGCATTTCCAAGGAGAGAGAAATGAATAAACAAAACATAGCATATGGTCATATGTCGCTTGACAATGTCTCAGTCAAGGAAGGACCACATATAGTGGTCCTGATAGTGGTCCTGATAGGCTGTACCATATAGCCTAGTGTGTAGTAAGTAGTAGGCCGTACCATATAGGCTTGTATAATTACACTCGATAATGTTTGTACAATGGTGAAATTTCCTAACAATGAATTACTCAAAGTATATCCCTGTTGTTAATTAACATGTGAATGTATTCATAGAGTAGAATATTTTTCAGCCTTGAAAAGGAAATCCTGATACAACATGAATGAATCTAAGGGTCACTATGCCAAATGTAATAAGCCAAGCACAAAGCAACAAATACACATGATCCCAATTATATGCAGTCCCTAGAGCTGTCAGATTTCTACCAAAAATGTAATGGAGGTTACCAGAGTCTGTGGGAGAAGGGAGTTGCTTAGTGGAAACAGTTTTAACTGTGCAAGATGGAAGAAAAGTTTCTAGAGATGGATGGAGGCAACAGCTGTACAACAATGTAAATGCCTTAGACCACCGAACTGGATGCTTAAAAATGGTCAACTTATGTTATATATATTTTACCACAATTAAACAAAAGCGGGCCTCCCTGGTGGCACAGGGGTTAAAGTCTCAGTACTATCAAGCTAATACCAGCCACTACAGCCTGAGTTCGATCCCTGGTCAGGGAGCTAACCCACATGGCGCAGCAGACCTTTCCTGTCTCACCTGCTGCTCTCCTCAGCAGTGTATTTTAGTCAGTCTGCCTGATCTGCTCCCCAGTTTGTCTCTAGTGAATCCTTTCACTCCCCATACCTCTGACCTACACCCTAGTTTTTGCTTGTATAAATAAATAAAAATAAATCTTAAAAAAAGAAACAAACAAACCAAAACAGCACATTGAAGTCCCTGTGTGCTCCCTTGACTTCCCCTAGTGGTAACATCTTGCCTAACTCTAACCTGTGGTCCACTTCAGGCAACTAACATTGGTGCAATGCACATGCCCCCTCAATTCTTACTCTTTTACCTGCAGGTAGCTGGTATTGCTGGGAGAAGTGGGGTTTTCTGTGCTTCAAGTTCTCCCTCCAACCCCTAGCACAATGCTCCATTCTGCACTGGTACTGAACCCTATATGCCTTGGTGTCTGACACTTTGTACAGGGGCAGGAATAGCTAGAATGAATACCCAAGAATGAGTATTTTTCTCTCTACAGGAAACACAGCCAGAGCCCAATGCCCAGCAGGCAGGAAGCCAGCCACACTCCAGGCCCATTGTCCAGGAGGCCAGGGAGCCAGGAGACCAGCCCCAGGCAGATAATATCTATCCCCAGCATAGTGACCAAAGCTCTGAGACACTGGTGCCCAGCAGCAGGGATTCTCAGCCCAAGGTCTCCCCTGACATCTCTCTAGAAAGAGAGACAGTGCCCTCTGTCTCAGAGAGGATCAGCCAGAACCAACTATTAGAGCCAGGGAACAACACACCAGATGGTAGAAGCAAAGAGAGCGCTTGGGTTCCGGGTGGTCACAGCTATAAAGTGCACCTGTCAAACATTGATGCTGAAGAGAAGCCTGAGCAAGGATCCCCCCAGAAGGGAGAAATCCCGCAGGGAGCCAGGGCTGACCTGCGTGAAGGACCCCAGGAGGAAGGAGAACCCAGATCTGTAGCACAGGGCCTCCCTAATGACATGCAGCTACCTAGCAGAAGTGGCAGGGAAGCAGAACAGAACTTCAGCAACACAACATGCTCCTCCCTCGGGATTGTTGCCATCACAGATGTGAGCACAGACCCCGCTGAGTTCGAACAGAGAGCTCTGGAGGTGGCTGGCCCAGATGGGCAGGCCAAAGCCAGGACCCCTGATAGAGGGCACAGTGAGGCCCTGCTCAGCTGCATTCCTCTCACTGGGAAGACCACAGGAGATAGAGGGGAATCAGGGAGGGGAATTGAGCCCACTAGTGATATCCCCAAGGGCCCTGAAGTTACCCTGGCTCAGGTTCAGGGGATCCAAGAGCCCACAGTAGGTGCAGAACATACCAACCCTCCAGCTTCAGAAATGGACCCAGATGCTGATCAGACACAAGTGTCAGGCCTGGATGAAGAGGGACTGGGAGGTATGCTGTTGCAGCCCTCTACTGAAAAGCCAGCCAAGTTAAATATCCAGAGCCATGAACAAGACCTCAAGGGGCTCAGTTTGCCCCTTCAAGCCTCCACCTTGCCAGTGCACAGAGAAGTAGTGAGTGGTCCTCAGCAGACTAGCACCCTTCAGGGCAGCCCAGATGCCTCTGCAGGCCGGCCCAAGCACCCTCCAGACTCTACAGACCAGACTGCCTGGGGGGCATCCCCAGCCCTGGAATTCGACTTCCTGCCAGATAGCCAGATATGGGAAGCCCTGGAAGCCCCTGACTTTGAAGCCCCACCTGAACAGGTAAGAGCATTTCCTAGTGACAGCCCAACCTGGGCTGGGCCAGTGCCTAACTACTTTTTTTGGTAAGATTTATTTATTAATGCCTACAAGAACTGGGGTACAGGCCAGAGGTATGAGGGGGCAGGAGTGAGAGAACCCACCAGAGACAGAGTGGGGAACAGAACAGGCAGATTGACTGAAGTACACTGCTGAGGGGAACAGCGTGCAAGTCGGTAGAGGTCTGCTGCGCCATGTGGGTAGCTCCCTGGCTGGCCGGGAATCGAACTTGTGCTGCAGTGGCTGCGGATAGTTCATAGGTTGCGTCTTAACCCCTTGCACCACCAGGAAGGCCCTGCCTAACTATTTTGAACCTGCTCCCAAATTGCCCAGTGGCAGGAAGATGGGGCATGTGGCGATATGTTCAGACGAGTCTAAGGGTCTGATTCAAAGCTTTTATAGGAAGGTTAGTGATTTTCTAGAGAGGTCAGACTTGCCTTTCTGTGGGGCCTACCTGAGTGGGAGCTGAAGAGTCCCAGGTAGCCCCGGGACATAATTTGTCTGCCCAAGCAAAATGTATAGTAGCCTCCCCAATCTGACCAGCACCCTTAGGTGTACCCACTCCCTTTATCCTTCTTTACCCAGCCTTGGCTGCAGATTCCCAAGGGTACCTTTGGAGCTGGAAGAGTGACCTTATGACCTTAAGCTGGGCCTGGAAGATGGAACTTCATCTCCTCAACTAGAAAGAGCCTTTGCCCCTCCTTAGAGTCATTCCAGGGCCCTGCTATGATTCTTTTTCAAACATAGGAATGGAGGTTTCTTTTTCTGTTGGATTTTTGCTTCCTTCTGACATCTGCCTCCCAACAAGCAGTGTGAGAGCCTCCCTGACTGCTCACCTGTGAGGCAGGTATGACCCTGCCCAGCCCTGCCCCCTGGGGAAGTACCACCACCCTGGCTGCTGGCAGACCTGCGCCTAGGCGCAGTGCTCTGCAGTTACACCCCTTAAGGTAGGCGGTTCTCTTTCCACACACTGGGTGCAGCCAAGAGGCTGAAGGAGGTTAGGTGACACAGCTGGAGGGGAGGAGACCAAGGTCAGACTCACTCTACAGCTGCACCTCAGCCACCCCATTCTGGAACTGGGAACCTCACTTGCTTCATATATGTTGACCTGTGTTTTTTGCTCTCCCTGTTGAGGTGATTTTTAAAGCACACTCAGTGCATATTTATGAAGTACTGCTCCATGCCAGGCATGGTTCCTGTCCCATAAGGTATTTTGGAAGCACCGTCCTCACCTGTCTCTCCACTGAGCATCTTAAACCCTGTCATCCCAGCACTTAGTCTACACAGCCCCAAAGTACCCATACTTGCAGAAAACCAGCTGTTGTACCTGTGCACGCAAAGCTGGGTTGGGTGAATGTGGATGCCACAGCGCTGCTTTCCCAAAGCATGGCCCAGGAGTCATTTTCAATCCACACTGTGCTCCTCCAGCCACTCACTTCTTTGTCACTGAATGAGCAAGATCTGGGAAAGCAAGTCACAGTGTGGATGGATCATTCAGATGATCATCTCCTAGGAGAGGTACTGGACAAGCTGAAATTTTGTAATTAGAGCCTCAACCCTCAAAAAATGCAAACCCCTCACATAAATTGTCCCCAGTCTCTGGCTTCTTGGGCAGTGGCTAAGGGAGAAGGCTGGGGATTCATTGGGAGGTTTGGTGGAATCCAGCAAGCAAAGGAATGAGCCCTTTTGGAAAGACCACCAGCAGGTACACTTTGGAAACACCCAGGAATTCAGGAATCAGCAGTGTGAGGGCCAGCCAGCCTCGCTCACTCGGGTCAGACTCGCCAGGCCTGTCAGGGGAGGAGGCACTGCTCTGACTGGCTGCCAATGCCCAGACAAATTTCATTTTGATACTGGGTGTTCCTGAACAAGTCAGGGCAATGCAGGCATGAACAAGTTCCCATGGGAAGGTTCTAGATGCCCCTGCTGAACACTGCGTGAGCAGGGACACTGGGAGTAGAATGCAGGTAGATGGAGAGAGCGGCAGCGGCAGCTTCCCACCAGCAGACCCTCTGCCTCACTAAGGCACAGCCATGAGCACTGCTCGGGAGGCTTAGGAGTGGCAATCTGGAGGCTCTCAGAGGCCAGCAGCAGTGAGGGACCAGGTCATTGTACAAGACAGCATAATGAGCATCATGTAACAAACTTATTCCCCCTGGTCCCTCTTAGGGCCTTCAGGAGTGGGCCTCCAGCACATTCAGTGGGAAGATGGCCTTGCTGTCTCAGACAGTTACATAACCCTGGTGGGAGTGGTGGTAGCTTTTGAGAGAGAATATTCCTCGTGGCCAAGAACAATATACTGAGTTGGATGAATATGTGCATCAAATTCTTTGTGAGAGTTGCTTACATGAAAGTTGATCAGATGCGTGGGAGATACTGTATTGTCTATAGCTAGGTTTCAACCAGCTGGCATTTAGGGTCGGAGTACTCTCTAAGGTAGGGCCCCATGTACTCTAGGTTGTTAAGCAGCATCGCTGGCCTCTCCCTACCAGATTCCACCAGCATTCCCATGACCGGAAATGTTTTCAGACACTGTAAAGTGTCTCTTGGGACAGAATCATCCCAACTTCTGGGCTGCAGGCAGCCTTCGTGCCTGTTCCTTTGGATTCAGGGATCCTTTTCAGGTAGTTCAAGCCTGTCACCACATCCCCTACCCTCATTTAGGGCGTCTCCATTCAGAAATACTCTCCCCACTCTGAGACTTTGGTATCCTCAGAAGAGGCCCAGAAGCCCTGGCCTGGTTACTATACTGCAGCCTCTTTGAAGGGACACATGTATTCTCTGTGATTGAACTTGACATTTTCCACAGAAATTAAGCCACTGTTGACATGTAAAAACCTAAAGTTATCAAGGTTATCTATCAATAATATTCTCCCCTATTATGAATTTTTCCCTCCCAATATGTTTGCAAAATCTTTTCCTGACATGAAACACAGCATATTTGGCTGACTTCCTCCCCTTGTCCCAGATGCCCACCTTGCCCCAGTTGCCACCATTCAGGGTCTTCTGTGTACCCTTGTAGATATTACATGATAAGCAGCAGACAATAGCCTACCTCAGTTGTTCAGGACAGAGTATTTGGCACCAGAGCCACCCACTGGCATAGAACAGATCAGCCTGTCAGAAGGTATAGGCTGGGAGAGGACCCTGGGTCAGTTCTCTCCTGAGGGAGGAAGGCTAGAGCACCAGGCTAGTGGCCCACAGGTCTAGTCATCATGGTGCCCCTCCGCCATACCGTCTTTCCTCTGCAAGAGTTCTGGCCTCCATGACTCTGGTGTGACTGAAGTAAAATGTGCCATCCCCTGCTTGACTTTTCCTTTATTGTGTCGGGTTTGCCCAGCTAGGCTGTTCACACGTGTGTTCTCTTTTCAGCTGTTACCTGTGGGTCCTCACTGGCCCAGTGCCAGCCCATCTGTTGATGGAGGCTCCCTTGATGAGACTCAGCAGAGGTAGGCTGGGTACAAGGCTGCCCCAGGACCCTTCCCTCAGTAGGAGGCCTCCGTCTGTCCCTGGGAGGGACAGAGCAGCCTCCCAGTTCTCCCTTACCTCTCCCCAATAGGCCCTGAATTCTCCCTCACCCCTGATCTATGAGCTCCATTTTGCCCACAAGGGTAGTGATGAAGGGGACCCTGGCTCTCCCTGTCTGGGCCTTGCTTTCCTCAATCCAGTAAGGAAACCAAGCCCTGTCTTTCAAATTACACATGTCCCCTGGTCCCTGCAAGTACAGAATGAGTGACCACCATGCTACACCCAAACCAGCATCTCTACCCAGGAATACTGGTTGGCGCCCCAGTTACACAAGTTATTTGAATTCATGTGTGTGTGGGTTTTTTTAAGATTTATTTTTATTTATGCATACAAGGACTGGGGTAGGCCAGAGGTACGGGGGATGGGGGCAAGAGGATTCACCAGAGGAGTAGGGAGCAGAACAGGCAGATCCACTGAAATACACTGCCGAGGGGAACAGTGGGTGAGATAGGAGAGGTCTGCGCCATGTGGCTGGGGGTTAAACTTGTGCTGCAGAGGCTACCAATAGCTTGATAGCACTAACACGTAACCCCTTGCACCACCAGGGAGGCCCATCATGTGTGTGTTTTCTAGAAAGGGGCTCTCCAGAGCTTCCTCCGATCTTTTTTGAGGGGGGATGCCCCAGATGTAGCCTTGGTGGGCCCTCAGTGTCTCATACCTGTCCTGTCTCCTAACTTACTGCTTGGCCCTCCTCTCCTTTCTGTAGACACCAGGTGTGCTATCCCTCCATCCTGGGGAGTGGGGGGCCTTGTCCCCACTCCTAGAGGCTCTCACCTCCTTCCAAGTCCTCTTACCTACCTTGCCAAACACTAGCCCTGGGTGCTGTCCTCTCCTACTACCTCCCCACCCCATGTGACCTCTATACAGGGATGGCAACTTACCAATTATTTATGGCCAAGTTTCTGTTTCTGTCTGGTGGGTATGGAGCAAGGTTAGGGATACATCCCTGGGTCATTTGTCTCTTCCTGTTCCTCAGGGTGAGGAAGCATTTTGCCCACTCCTGCCCTTGTCACATCTGTAACTCATAGCTCTTGTTCCACTTGATGTCACACATACACACACACTGCAGAAATCAGAAGCAGTTTAGTCAAAGTGACTGCACTATTTGAACAAAGAGGAGAGACATCTGGGTCTGAATTGCTGGTGGCCTAACTGGGCTGGTGTGACCCCACATGGACATCTGGAAATCCACAGAGCAAGTCCTAGGGCTGGTCAGTGGCCCATGGCTGAGACACTCAAGAGGCTAAAGCCAGCCAGGCGTAAAGGTGCATCTGAGGCAGGCAGAGAGCTGGAGTTCCTGCAGTGACAGCTCAAGAGGATACTCCTAGCCTGGGATGTGGGAGACTTTAGGGGAGCCACTGACCTGAGGCCAGATGGGTGGGCCCTGCCCATGTACAAAGGCTGCACACATGAGATGTGGCCACTTCTTCCATGAATGTTAACCCCATGCAGCCCCTGGTCTTCCGGAAACTGTTATGGGAGCTGGGACAAAGCATGCAGCTTTGTTCTAGTGAGTTTGGGGGTAAGAAACAAGGAAATTAGAAAGAGTCTTGTGGAGAAAACAGAAGCACTTGTTACCCCATCCAAGGAGGGTAATAATTGGCAAAGAACATTCTAGAGTCCTAGGAAATGCTGAGGGGAATGGAATTAAATGTGGCTGGAGTAGAGGGAAAAGGAAGAGAGGGAGGAGATGGGGTCTAGAGGTGCCAGCAGTTCGTGTGGGGCTGTGTGTGGGGGTTGGCAGGCCAGGTTTCATTTTCTCAGCAACCCCATGCTGTGTGGGGGGACAAGCTATAGAGGCAGGGGCTGGGAACCGGGGTGGAGGAGGTGTGTGGCTGTGGGATCTGTCCAGGGGAGAGTGGCAGCACTCTGGGTGTGCTTTTGGCAGGAGAGCCAACAGAGTTGGCCATCAGGGATCTGCCTCTGGTGGCTTCATATCTGGAAAGGATGTGGCTAGCTGGAGCAGGGCAGCTTGAGTATCTGGAGATGACACATGAGGCCCAGCTGCAGTTTGGCGCAGCTGCCAGTGAAGTCAAATATGTCTTCCCTCCTTTCCCACCAGGACCTGCATGGGAATTAAGGCCTATGAAGCCACCAGCTTGGAGGACGCCACAGACACTGTACGAGGCCTAGTCATTGAGCTCTCCAACCTGAAGTAAGAGCTGGGCCTGGATCCATGGGGGACAGGCACAGAGGATGGGTGCTAGGGTCTAAAGAGGATGGAGAATCCAGTGTAGCAGCAAGACAGGAACCTAGGCTTCCCGCCAGGGGCTCCCAGAAAGCACTAGCCTTCAGAATATACACCTAGCAGAATGACTAGTTTCTGAAGTTGGGCTGGAATCATCTCAGTCCTCCTGGTCCTGACTCTGCCTGTGTGTGTGCGCGTGTGTGTGTGTGCTGCAATCCCACAGCTCATGTGGTATTTCCTCATAGCCGGATTATCATGAGTGCCCACCGGAACCTGGAAGCCTTCAAGTGCCCCAGCTACTATAAGGCAAAGTCATCCGGGAAAGCCTCTGTGCCCTTTGCTTCAAAGGAGACTGGGAATCTCCCCCATGGGGGGCTCTCATGGAAGGATTTCTAGACTGCTTCCGGATGGCCTGTGGAGCAGGCGCTGCCCTCTAGCCAGCCCAAGTGCCTGAACAGCTTGGAAATAATCTCAGCAGATCCCAGAAAGCCCACGAGTCTCTCTGTGCCCCCTGGTATTTTGTTACCCTCCAAGACGCCTAGGGGATCCTAGAGGGCCCCAGAAACCACTGCTCAGCCAACCAGGAAGTCAGTTTCCCACAGGAAATACCCATTGGGTGCCTCCCTCAAGTTAATGTGGGATGGGGGAACCTGCTTCTCTCCTCCAGCCCACTGGGGCCTCAGAAGAGGAACCCAGCTAGGAGTGGCTCAGATGTTTATCTGGGTTTGCAAATCTCGGCTTTTTAGCCAAGGTTATAGACGGTTCAAAATTTGTTTTCTTGCTGAAGGAGAAAAGGACTTCTTTTGTTGGTTGTACTTTCAGCTTTCTCCCAATTTCCATTTTCTTTCTTTTAGGAAGACCATTAATAAAGGACTTAAGAATGATTCTCACATGACCTGTTTGGGGTTTGAGGCAGTCCCGTTCCTTAATGTTCTCCCACAAGCTCCCTGCTCACCTTTTTCTACCTTGGAGAGACAAGTTTGGCTTAGGTCAAGGGCTCCCCACAAATATCCAAGCAATGTGTCACACTCTCCAGGAGCGGGTGGCTGTGTGCATGAGTTCAAGTGCCCACACTGGTATCTAAGGAGCAGCAAGCCCATGGAGACATGAGGCTGATCCTATCATTGGAGGGCTTGTGAGTTTGGTTTTAGTGTTCATGTAGCCTCTGCCAGCCTCTGTAGCCCAGCCAAGATGGAGGCAGTGCCAGGGGATTGTTACTGGGTCAACACAGGGCATCATCCCACAAAAGCCTTCTTATAACCCCACAGCACTTATCCAGCCTCTGGGGCTGCTGTAAGCTCATGTTACAGAAAAGGGTGCTTCTGTTAAATTGGTCGCAGCAAAGCTGACCAGGCCCTAGACTTTTAATCACTGCCTGTGGCTCCTGCATCTGACTCCTATGGCCAAGACAGGGCCCTCCTTTCAATGCCATCTTACACCTCAGAAGACCCCAGAGACCCGAAGGATGGTCAGGGTCCCCCACACTTCTTCCTTGAACTCACTGGGATGTACCCTACTGGCCAATTCACAAGGTGCAAGCACCAGCTGCTCTTACATAAGAGGGAAGAGGAGGAAGAGGGAGAGGCAGGGATGTTGTACCCCTAACTCAATTCTTGGGACTACTAGGGAGTCTGTGTTTTCTTTTTCCTCCTCCCCTCTCTTCTCCAAGCCCGCCTATGTAACCTTAAGTCCTAGTACGAGTCAAAAAGCCAAAGGCAGAGGGGACCTCCCTTCTCCCATCCAACACTGGGAGACCATGTGGGCAGGGTATGTGTGTGCAGCCCAGGTTCTGGGGCCAGCCCTCAGCTTTGGGAAGGAATGTGGACCTTGCAAGGTCCAGGCTGGAAGAATAAGAGCTGGGGGTAGAGGAGGCAGATGGCATGGGTGTTCCCCCAAACACAGCCCCCTGCCCCACAGAACAAGACCCCACAGTAGGGGAGAATTTTCATCCCCCCCTGCCCAGGAAATCCAAATTGCCTCCCTGATGGTCCTGCCTAAGCTCTGGACTGGCCTGACCCCCAGGCCATATTCCCATCCCTTGCCAGCCCGCCAGGAGTCCTTCCCTTACTGTGAAGGGCCTATCACGTGACTCCACGGCCCCATGACCCAAGGTCATTGGGGCATCCACGGTAACCTAAGTGCTCACTGGGGACATACTTAGTATAGGACATCTTTAGTATAAGGGTGAAGAGCTTGCTCAGTCTCTCTATTGTCCCCCTCAAATCAGGCCCCCTCCTGCACTGCAGTGTGGGGTAGGGTTTGTCCATTTGGTAAGTCAATATGCAGGATGGCTGAGAATCTGAAAACACCAAATGTGGCAGAAACGGCTTCCTGGGAGTAATCCAGAAATTCCTCAGGGTGGGCTGAAATACAAACAACAGTCTGAGAAAAGGGGCATCAGAGTAACATGTGGGCTAATGGATGCAGCTGAGAAAAGGAGGTGCCTGAGCCCCTCAATGTACTCCTGCTACTTTGTCCCAAGACCATGCCTCACTTGAGATTGAGGGTACATTCATAGCATTTATTGAGTACTCTGGCTTGCCTCCTCCCACATGGGGGCTTCTTTGGGTCATACTCCCAGGTCTAGCTCCCTCACCAGGCCTCCAAGCAGAGGGCCCTCTCAGGGCCCATCCTAAGAGTGTGGATCTTTCCAGAAAACCACCCTCTACTGAGCCTGGGTCCACATGCCCAGGCGAAGGCAGCATCCCCTTGCTCTTCATGCCAACGTCCTAGGCAGAAGTGGTGGGACAGCGGGAAGGCGAAGGTCCAGAAGACTTCCCAGCACCTTTAGAACCTGCATTTTAAGAATGGAGGAGGAAGGAGGAAAACATTTAATAAGAACAGTAATTCAATGCTGCTGAAGTAACTGGTCCACTAGCAGGGTTGCTGGGCTCTGGCGCCATCTGGTGGCTTACCCTAGAATGGCAGCCCCTGTGATGTTCCTGGACCAGGACAGCAGCCCCGAGTCATCCCTGCCCCCCCACCCGCCAGAGAGGAACATAAAGCCCAGAAACTGGGACTCCAGCCAACCATGCTGCCTACTTAAGGCCTCAGGGCTCTGGGGACCCCAAATTTATTACACCCACAATGTTACCAGGAAGGCCGGTCTTAGGCAGCCTTTGTGTGCCTGTATTTAGTAGTGAGAACTCCCTCAACCCCACCCTCCATACCAGGGGAGGCAAGGGACTTAAGATGAAAAAGAATCAGGGACCATCATCTCCACGTCCCCTCAGCTTCCCTAGTTTCCCAGTTGAAGCTCATCAAAACTCAGGAAATTTGCCTCTGAGGCAGTCTCTTACTTTTTAACAAATAGTCACAGCACAGTGTGGGAACAGGGAGGAGTCTTCCCACCCAGTCACCTGCCTCCAGGAACTCATGGCTGATGGAGGAAACAGCGCCCACTCAAATGGGCAGCTGTGTCACAGCCCCTTCAGATCCCTTCTCTGTTGGCTGACTTCCCCTAAGGCAATTAAAGTTGCTAAAATGGGTATCTCTTCTGAAACCCCTCAAGGGCTGAAATCCTTTCCCTCTAGAAAAGAAAATACTGCCATTTAAGCCCCAGCTACTCAAAAGCCTTATCACACATCAGCATCACAGGGAATCCTTTAAAGACACAGCTGTTTCAGCCCCACTCAGACCTGTGGAACTGAAATCTGCAGTTTGTCCACATCTAATGAGCAAGATGAGGGTGACCCCATGTGGTGGGCTGGGCACAGTGTGAAGACAACCAGATCAGGGCTAGGGAGGCTTTGGCTGATCTGAGTTGATCCATTCAAAGAAAATTCATGGTACCCAGGTGTCCCCAGGAACCAGGCCTCCTTGCTTTTGCCTTGGATACCCGTGTCGGCAGACCTGCCCCTTTCCTTCCAATACTCTCAAATCTGTCCCCATACCTGCCAGCCTCCATACCAGGGGAGGCAAGGGACTAACCATCTAACAGACTAACACAAAGACCTGGTCTTATCACTTCTGTGTCTCCCTAATACCAGAGTCCAAACTCTATGTGACTCAAAAGGACCTGTAAGTCCTTCCTGTTGTCCCTGAAACCTGACACCGTGCCCCCCAACCCCCCACACTCCATTCCAGACACATTGAACTTCACAAAATTGCTGGGCAAACCTCAGTGCCTGATACCTCAGGGCCACATATCTGACCCTCCACCAAACTGAATAAGGCTTCCAGAAGTCACTTTCTCCAGGAAGCCCTCTTGGACTGCCTCTCATCTAGATCAGGGGCTTTTCTTAGCCCCATCATCTGTTGTTTTAACTGCCTTTGTATTCACTATAGGCCCAGCCCAGCATTTGGTACAGAGCAGGCACATAAACTATTTGGCAAATGAGTGGACATATGAAGAAGCTGAAGTTCAGAGAGGCTGAGCAACTTCTCTCAGGCCACACAGCTCCTTAGTGCCAAACAGGATTGGAGCCCCTATGGCATGTGTCCACAGATCCCACTGCTGAGCCCATGGCCTCCTTGCCAGATCACCCTGTGTCTGGAAAAGACATAGTATTTGCCCCATGGGCCCAGAGAGGGAGAATGCCTTGCTCAAAGCCACGCAGTGAACCCCAGCCCAGCTTACCCACACTCGGCAACACTTCTATAATAGTCTTCTAAGCTTTCTCCACAGATTAATTATCACCCACCCCAACTCTCTGAAGAGGGTACTGGGATTAATTTCATTTCATAGAGGCTCCAGGAGCTCAGCCTCTAGCGCTAGCGCAGGCCCCATCCATAATGGGTCCCCCATCACCTGTACAAGTGCCGCCTCCTCCTCCTCCGGCTCCTGCTCCTGAGCCTCCTCCCCGGCGGTGTCCGGAGTCCGGTGTCCTTGCTTTGTCTGGCCTGGTCAGCCTCTTGCCAGCAGAGTTGCGGGTGGTGTAGCTGTAGACGGAGGTGTAGCCCTGGCCAGTAAGCGGGCAGAAGCGGCGGGTGTGGGCCCGCTCACGTGTGGCACCACACTGGGGGCACACATAATCACGAAGTATGGGGCACAGCACCCTGCCAGCCTCATCCTTCAGCACGTGGGACTGGTAGATGGCCCGGGACTCGCCATTGTGTTTGCAGAAAGAGCAGAGGCGTTCTGGAGCTGGTGAGGATTCTGGGCTGGACCTCTGATCCCCGGGTCCTGGAGCTGGCTCTGGTTGAGGATCCAGCCTGGGCTCCTCTTCCCCACGCAGAGCCCCCACCAGGCGTGCCAAACCCAGGTAATCTGTCCATAGGTCGAAGGTCCCCATGGTTGAGAGATGAGGGCCAGGCAGAGGGGAAGAGAGAAAAAGAGACCCTGCCTGCTCAAAGCATCTCACCCCTTTCTCCTCCTCCCTTCCTCTCTTGGAGCCTTTGAGTCTGGGCTGTCAGTCCCCTCCTTATACTTCCAAGAGGGTGTAAAGGGGGAGGAGCAGGCTGTAGGAGTCTCCTTGTGAGGAGGGGGGCTTGCTGCTGTAGGGAGGGGGGTACATGCACCTGCCAGAGGAATGTACAGGCTCTGGGGGGCCAGAGGTGGGGGGTGACAGGTCCCAGGCTGCAGAAGGCACCAGCAATTTGGAGCTACCTCCCCCCACCTAGAGGGCTTTGGGAGGGCTACCCCTTTCTCCCCATCCTTGGAGGAGGCCTGGAGGCTCTTGCCTCACAGGGTGATGGGGGGGGGGGAGTGTTTGGAAGCCCCACCCCATAGATAAGCATTGATTTAACCAGCAACTTTGTAACATCCCTCTTCCTTCCCAGGCTGGGGGAGGGGCCAGGTGCCCCTGGGCTCTTTGGGAAGGAGGGAGGAACTGCCTGATGCTCCTTACCTCTGGAAGGGGAGCGATGACACCTGGGGTGGGAGGGGACACAAGAACCAAGGCTCCCAGATCTTGTCTCACTCAGGGAGCTTTCACATCCACTGTCTCAGTGGAACCCCATTTAATGGATAAGCACAGGAATGGGTGTTGAATTATACACAAAAGCCTCCCTCCCTCATCCAGCTATCGGAGCCCCCAAGGCTAAGTGGTGTATAAGCCCAGGAGTCACCCCAGTGGGGCACAGACTTCAAGATGGAGGGTTCAGTGGACAAAAAGGTGGAAAGTCAAGAGCCAAGCATGGAGATTGTGGGGAGTAAGCCAGGAGAGTGAGAAAGCGGGGCCTAGGACTTGGACACAGAGGGGATATGCCCACCCCATTCCTTCCTTCAGACATCCTGGAGCACAGCTCACCCCCCCACCACCTTTTAGAAGGGTTTTTCAGCAGCCCAGCCTGGCATCTGTGATTCTCATCCCCAACCTTCCAGGATTTATCCCCCCAAATCCCGCCTGAATCCACCAGGATCCCAGACACGAGCCCTCCCTGGGGTCAGGACAAGGTAGTGGCTGAAAAATTTTATGAGGGAGCCCAAGGGATGTCTTATCCCCCCTCCCATGGCCCTTAGGCTGTGTCTGGCCCAGCCACAGTGACATTCATCCCTCGGTGGGTCTGGCTTTGGTCCTCACAACCCACCGACAACAATGAATGTTGATTGTGACCTTCTCTGACCTAAGGGCAGGGATCTGCTCAGGCTCCCCTTCCCCCTTAAGAGGTTGTGATGGGCAGAGGCTGTGAAGGGCGGTCGGCAGTTCCAGGCCTCGGGGTCCACTCAACGGTCGATGGTTTGCCTGAGCTGCCCAAACTCACCGACAGGTTGAATGTTCCCCCAAACCCTTGGCAACTTCTCCTGGGGACCAGGAGTGAAGGGTGGGAGACAGGGAACCCAGAAGGGTGAGGGATACCCTGAGAGGGAGTAAGGGACTTAGTATTAACACAGTAAGTCAGCAAACAGTTATTGGGTGCCAGCTGTCTGCCCTGGGACCTGGAAAAAGCAGGAAACAAATTATTCTAATAACAGTACATATTTAAGCCTCATTTGCTACACTGATGTAATCTTTGTACACAGATGTAGCAGCACAGGGCACTCTGCTTGATTCCTTAAGTAACACTCAAAACAGCTTTGCAAGGGGCAGATTACTCCCATTAATAGGCTTGGGAAACTGAGGCCAAAGGGCACAGCTAATAAAAAGAGGGAGGAGGGATTCCCAGTGGCCCCAAGATGTCTAGCTGCCAGCCAGTACTGACCTGGGGCATCCATGCAACACAGATAAACAAGTCATTTTAATACAATGTAATACCTTAAGTGAGCCACACTGTGTCTGGGCACAATTGTTTGTGAGACTGTGAATCACAACAGCCCTGGGGGGTTCTCAGAGTCTCTACTTTGCAAATGTGGTGTGCTGCCAGGCCCCATCTCCCACCGGCTGGAGCTTCCAGCCCACACCGGCTGGAGCTTCCAGCCCTTTGAGCAGGGGGGAAGTTAGAGGACAGCTGTCATCAGACTGCAGGATGTCCATGCATCTGAACTTAAGCCATCTGCATTCAGTACCCAAACTCACAGCCACCCTGGTGGAGGTAGCGCAGGGTTGCTCACCCTTGGGCCTCAACATAGACTGCAGACAAACCCAGCTCAGGCTCCCACTGGGCAAGATGCTACCCTCTCTGGGCTGCTTCATGAGTCCCTCCCTCCAGGAGTTTGGCAGAGTTGAGCACCCACTTCCCAGGTTCCCTCCCCCCTACAAGGGTGCAGTCCTGCAGCTACTTGCTCTTCTGCCAGTCTGTCAAAGCAGAGACCAGGCAAAGTGGAAGCCACCCCACCTGGTTGGTCAAATTTTAATCCCTTCCCATTTTCACTAAGGGGGATACTGAGTCACAGAGCAATACCTGGCATAAACCTAAAGTAGGTCAGGGATGCCAAATGTACTGAGTACAAGTGAACCCCACAATGCCTCTTGGTGGATGGGTGAGACAGCTCAAGCCCATCAGGCACCACCCCTGAAATTAGCGGCAATCCCCCCCCCCCCGGAAATTTCTACCTAGAGAGGACTTTCTTAGACCTGACCAGCAGAAGGCACCCACGGACCAAGGTGGCTTCCTAGGACCACCCTCCTCCCTTAAAACCCATCCACTGATGGGCCTCACTGGTGGCACAAGGGGTTAAGCACCACAGTATGAAGCAATCCGCAGTCTCTGCAGTACGAGTTTGATCCCCAGCCGGCTAGGGAGCAACCTACATGGCGAAGCCGACATCTCCTGTCTCGCCCCCTGCTACCCTCGGCAGTGTATTTCAGTCAGTCTGCCTGTTCTCTTCCCCACTGTCTCTGGTGAATCCTCTCACTCCCGCCCCTGCATCTCTGGCCTGTACCCCAGCTCTTGTATGCATAAATAAATAAGTTTTAAAAAAAACACCACCACCTACTGATTGCCTGTCCCTAGGCCTCCCTCTAAGGGCGCCCATAAATTCCCGTGGAATTCGCAACCCACCCCCTAAAACCCACCCCCTAAGCTAAAGCCCGCCTACCTAGACCCCCACTGTCATCTTCCCTAAGACTTTGGGTCCCCAAGGCCAACCGCATGGAATACAACCCCTCTAGAGTCCACCCTGACAAGGTATACCCCAAACCGACCTATTCAGGACCCCCTTGGGACCCCCCCCCAGGAAAGACTTGTTCCCATGAAATTCCATCTCAAGAAGCCCAGTCCCCAGGTTGAGTCCCCAAGTTGAGTCACCTTTTGCCCCCAACCCGGGTTGAGTCACATTCCCGCCTACCCATGTTTGAAGCTCTGAGTGGAGGTGTGGGGCACCCTCCCCCAGGGTTCATCCAGCAGCGCCCCTATTCTGATTGGGGGGCGGGTAAGCGGCTGGGGCAAGTGGGATCTCCTGCCTTGAGGACGGTGGTCCTACCAAAGAGAATGCTTAGCACTCTGGGGGACGATGGTGGGATGGGTGGGCAGGGGTAATAATTATAACGCTATAATAATAACAACAGTTTACATACATCACACCCTATTATTAGGATACCCATCTCATCCAAGAAGAAGGTGAGGCTCTAAGTTTGGAGCAAACTCTCCTGTTTTCTCAAAAGCTTTGTTCTTGGTGAAAATAAAGCTAGAATTCGGGTGTCATCCGGCATGAAGCACACCAGCCACACTGGGGGAGGGGACGGCGGAGCTCCCCCGAGACTCCTCTTTCCGCGGCTCTTCTTTCCTGGCTTCCCTTAGCATTTTGACTTTGACCTACAGAGGAGGCAGGTCCCTGGAGGCCCTCCCGGGACGGGGAAGGTCAGTCAGGAAGGCCGCGCGGAGGTGATGGGCGGGGCTTCGGATCAGGGGGCGGGGGCGGGAGGAGGTGCGCGGTCCCAGACCCATCCCCACCGGGGCGGGGCTGTCTGGGTCCGACCCCGGGTCTGTCTGCCTTTGTCTGCCGACGTCGGTGCGGGTTTCCCGCCCTCTGCGTCTGTCTGGGTCTGCCTGTTTGGGTCTGACTGCACACTTCGCTGGTCTGTGTTTGTCTGGGTCTCCCGCCCCGTGTCTCTAACTGTCCTTTATACTAGATCTCCTCTCTGTGTCTCTCTACATGTCCCCTCCGGGGGACAGGCCCTAGGCAAGAAGCTACCTCTTGTCCGTCTGGGTTTATTGTCTGTACTTAGGGGCTTAAGGCCTTGCAAGGGCTGACTGTTCTTCCCACCAAGTGTCCTGAGGCCTGCTGGGGAAACAGGTTGGGCTTCTGCCTTTGAAGCTCAGCTGGATGGAGGCAGGGAACTGTCTCCACCCACCTCCAAAACCCTGGCCTGGTGTAAGGCATGAGTGCCCTTCAGGGCTATCCTGACCCTCATTCTGCTTCTTCCTTATCCTCAGTCCCTAGGTTTGCACACCCCATCTGGGAGGGTCTGTCTAGGCAGGGTCTGAGGCAAGTGGAGTTGGGGAAACCCTAAGAAGCCATGCTGACCCAGGGCCTGCCCCCACCCCCAACCACATCCTGAGCTACAGGAAGGCAAGGCAGTTAGTTGGCTCAGGTCTGGGGGTCAGGGTCTGAGGTGAGAGGTCCAGTGGAGCCAGTTGGTGATGAGATGGAGGCAGCTCTGCTGTGAAGTTGAGGAACAAGGTGGAGGGGTGGTAGAGGGGGAAAATGAGGTCAGAAGTTCGGAGCTTCCAGGGGGTGTCTGGAAGCCTGTGTGTGTGTCTATGTGTCCCCGTATGTATGTCCATGCAAGTGTTCCTGCATGTGTACCCTTGTATGTGTCCCAATCTGCCTATGTCTCAGTGTGGCCTTGTGTGTGAAAGGGGCAGGGTCACACAAAGGGAGGGGTGTCAAGGACTGGCAGACAAAGAGCCCATTATAGGGCATGTAGCCAAAGCACATATGGGGGTCCCCATGTAGGATCCTGTTGATGATCTGGGCTGTCGAGACTCTTGGGCAAGGGGCTCCTTATTTCCATGATGGAAATAAGGCATGGCCCCTCAGGTTCCCACCTGCCCTCCCCATGCCATCCCATGGGCTTCCTCTCCTGAGGAGGTGACCTGGGGGCAGCCCGTGGGCCAGGAGCCAGAGCTTCCTTCCCAAGTCCCCCAGATGTGGGGCAGGGCTGGAGGAGGCAAGAAGAATCAAGCCTGGGGTTGGGAACTGTGGAGGGACCCTGGGGCAGGCTAATGGGAAATTCAGACACTTCTACTGAGGCCAGTCGTGCAGAGTGACCCTGAGTCTGGGTCAAGGTGAACTCCATCTGCAAAAACACAGGCAACAGCTACTTACAGACCCATTACAGAGGGTTTGTGTCCAGGTTACCCTGCTGGGCTGTTTTAGGGGGTCTGTGGGTATCTGTGAGTCTGGTAAGTTCCCAGGTGTGTGCTGTAGTGGGTGGCTGTCTACATGCTGGTTGGGTATGTGTGTCAGCACATGTTGGCTCCGGTGGGCTTGTTTGTGTATAGATGTCAGCATGACTGTGGATATGTAACAGGCTAATATGGGTAACTGCAGGTCGACATGTCAGCTATTGTATGGGGGTTTCTGGCATCTGTCAATGTCACTGTGGGTGACTCTACTCCATGTGTCATGTGATGATGATGCCCCCCACCCCCAGCTCCCTCACTGAATTGTCAGCTCCAGGAAGGCAGAGATTTTGATTTCTTGGACCACAGGTACTAGGAAATAAAGGATATATAAATCCTGGTTCATAAAGGATACTCATGGCTATGGATTTCTGGTGTCTTTGTGTCTCTTTCATTTGGGTCTGTGTATACAACTTATTGTGTCTGTGTGTCACTGTCAAGTGTGTATAATCAAGTGTTAGGGTTGGGTGAGTGTGGGTGTAGGTACCACTAGCGTGTTCATATCTGTTCATGGGTGAGTGTCATAATGGTTGTCCAGGAGAGTCATGTTTTCCAATGTCAGTGTCTGGCAGGCCTTGTACAATCTGTGTGTGTTGTGTGTGTGTCAGACTGCAGATGGGCCCTTGAATGTCTAGTTGTGCATGTCTGTGTTCTTGTGCACAATAGGGTCTATCTGTGGTTTTCACGATTACTCTGGGTGACTGACAGCCTGTGTGGGTGCCTGTACACAGTGAGCATCTTTATGCAGTAGAGAACTGTGTGTGTGTCTGTGTCCAAGGCTGTGTCTTTTTGTGGCCATCACTGATGGCAGCTATGTTTTCCCATGTGGCAGTGTTTATGAGTGGCAGCCCTGATTGTCTAAGAGATATGTGTGCCCACGTGGCAGTGTTATTGTGGGTGACTGTGTGTGTGTGCTTGGGTATATCAACATTCTTGCAGGTGATGCTAGTAATAATGAGGATGATGTATGTCTTAGAGTATGTACATCGGGGATCTTACCATCACTTCAACAATATTAATTGTGCCTCTGTATCTATGAGCACTCCAGGGCAATGAGGAATTGGAAGGAAAGAAATGAGGGAAACTGGAATGGAGTGAAGTGTATGTGGGCTTACTTCTCAGTTCCTATTTGTCCATAAGGGGTCTTCTCCATCCCTTCTTGCCCCCAGCATGCCCTCAGAGCAGATCCTCTTGAAAGGCTCCTTTAAAGGGGCTCCCCAGCAGTGGGACTCGGGGCCATTTTTTCTTTTCATGGCCAGTTTTGGAGGGCGTGTTCCTGTGTGTAAACCTTGGCCCCAGAAAATACCCTGCAGCCGCCGTCGGTAATGACAGACGGAGGGCGCCGGGACTCCTGCGGACAGCGCCGCGGCAGCCCTGGGCCCACGGCAGCAGGCAGGCCCGAGCGCGGCCCCGGCCGGGATCCGGCTCCGCAGGGCCCGCACAGGCCCGCGCGCCCGTGAACTTGGCCAGGGAAGCCTTCCCCACCGCGCGCCGGGCCGGGCCTCTCCCAGCCCTGGGGATCCGAGGTGCCCCTCCGCTCTGCGCCCCCAAGAACAAAGCTCGCCGCCGCCCTGTCCCGGGCCTCCCGGCGGTCAGGTGTCAGACGACCGGAACACCGCTGCCCCTTCGTGCCCCGCAGCATCTCCGCCCCGCAGGGGCATCTCGGCCCATCTCCCTCCCTCCTCTCCCCAGGCGGCCTCGGCCCGCGGACTTCAGGACCTTCCCCTTAGGGGGGCTGGTCTTCTCGGCGCCCCTTCTCGCAGAAGGCTAGACGCAGAGATGCCGCCGGGGCCTCCCCGCCCCCCTTCCCAGCCGCCGCAACAATGGAGGGCCGGGCGGCAGAGGCCGGGGCGCCCGCCCCCGGCCCCGAGCAGGTGCGCGAGGGGGCTGCAGCGGGAACCCGCCGCCGCCCCGCCCCTCCGCGCCCCCTCCCCGCGGGCAGCCCCCGGCCCGCCCGGCGCCCGCGCTCACCTCTTCTTGGGCCGCCGCCGCGCTCCCCCTCTTCTTTCCAAAACCCGCCCGGAAAAGCCCCCGGAGCCCAGGCGCCGGCACGGGAAATTGCACTTCGGCGGCTCCGGGGCAGGGCGGGGGCTCCCCAGGCCACGGGCAGGGGGAGGGGGCCTTGGGGCTCCGGCGCCGGCTCGAACCCGCGGCCGCCGCCTCCCGCC